ATTAGATATATAAGCAATGTTTGCTGTGCCCTATCCTTTGGCCTGGTAAAAATTTGAAATTTATTAGGTGAAAAAAGATAAGAAAAAAAAGGATAGGAATATGTCTCATGCGGGTACATATAGCTTTACAAAACTTCCTTGTTTTAATACCTCGAAAAAACACACATATCCATCCCTACATTCATAAAAAAAAGGTTGCATATAATAAAGCATTTGTCACATGTTGTAATAATTCATTTGAATTATGGACTTTCAAATGGCAACCATCCAAGCATTGCCCATCATGTGAAGCACCGCTTCCACTCACAAATCCTGTGCAACGATTGGATTTGGATTTTACTTCTACTCTAAAACGCCTACCTTTACATGCATAAGGAACTTTATACATACCCTTCCATCAATACATAATTGTAAATGCCTTGAATTTCAGTTCTCTTTTATTTTTCCGCCATCTTTTAATAAACTTATGAGCTTTTTTTGAAGGTTTACGAATGCTTTTAACTATTTCATCACGATAACTAATGTGTCGCTCCAAATGTGCTAACATTTTTTTTTTCTTCAATTATGGGTGTTTCCCACCCTAGTGGGAAATACATTGCAACTCTTCATATGTAAATATTTGTTTGAATCATCATCCTTTATAAATCCTTTTCTCATACTAGATGTAGTCGTCGAATCGATACCAACATATATTGTTCCACAACCGTCATTAGAGATATAAGCAATGTTTGTTGTGCCCTATCCCTCATCCTGGTAGAAATTTTAAATTTATTATGTAAAAATATAAATGAAAAAAAAGAAGATGAGAATATGTCTCAGCTATATATATATATATATATATATATATATATATATAGCTTTTCAAAACCTCCGCCATCCTAGTTCTATTGGTATGCTCTCTATTTTAGAGACAAGAAAGAAAGAAAAAGTTTGCAAGTTCTCTATTTTATGACATAATATATCTATGCATTTGTTGTTATTCTATGTCATGTTGAAAACAACTTGTATGTTAAAAGATAATTTATTCAGCCAGGTTATTTTGGTGTTCGCATGATGTAGAACCGATATTTAATAATATATTTATTTGTTGATGGGATCATAAATGTCATTCCTTCTAACTTCTTTGACATTATCACCCTTTTTTCTTCTTCTTTTTTTCCTTTTGTATTTAACAATGTAATTGCATGGAAACAGGGAGCAAGACTGAACAATCAGAGGATGAAGAATCAATGGATTGGAAATCAGAGGATGAAGAATAAGAGGATTGTAAATCAGAGGTTGAAGAATCAGATGATGAAAAATCCATGGATGGAAAAAGTTATGGTAATCAATTGATTTTAGGGGCAATAAAAAAAGGAAAAAAAAAAGTGCCTTCAATTTCTCTATTTACATATATATTCATTTTTTTTTCTCGTATGACATAATATATATGTATTTGATTTTATTCAATGTAATGTGTTCACAATATTGATTTTTGGATTTATAATCTTCATTCATTCATTGTCTTAAAAAAAATGATTATTTTTATTACTTTAGTTGCATTTAACAATGGATCTACAAATTGCATACATGCGAATGTAAGTATTGTTTAAAGGTGGATAAGCACCCTATACAACTATGCTCTTATAGGTACCAAGTCCCAAAGAACGCAATTGTTGGCAAGAGTTGTGTGGTTGCATGTCTCATATATGGCTGCCTCTTTAGAGACTCATGTTATCAAGGATTGTACAATCTGTGGGAAGCAAGAAGAACACTCGAATCATGAGTGCCCGGAACGCGAGGAGAAACGTAAGGATTGTAGTTTTACTTACAACCCTTATGCTGGTTCTTTTTCTGTCAAGATTCACCCTTTGAATAGTAGAGAATGTGAGGACTAGTAATTTTCTGACTCGGAACTGGCAACTATGGTTTGATTTTCGCTGGACTCGGAATTCTTTAACTCTAAGACTTTAATCAACTTTTCTTTATCTTCATCTGTGATTTTCAACTGTTTGATTGTATCTTTCACTTTGCATTCATTAGCATAATGACCATTCTTTTGACATTTCCAGCATTTTACTCTGGCTTTGTCGGAGGATTTTCTAAAGCGACTATTTTTCTCATTTTTCAGCATTTTAGACCATTTTTTCTTAGGGTAAAATTTCTTCTTTTTATAAAACTCATTATTGTCATTATGGTGTCAGAACGATTGTTTTCTTCTTGAATAATGGTGACTCTTTCTGATATGACTAGGGTAACTAGACTTATCTTTTTTGGAATGGGGAATACTGGTGAGACCGTATTGTTCACAGAAATTTCCTAACTCATATTTAGCTGATTTCCTATATGACTGTATTTGTTTACCAATTTTAAAATCAACGCACATTTTCATTCCAACTTAATTAATTGTACTTATTATATTTCCGTAAGTTAAATTATCCCAATCAGTATGACCTTGTTCATTACTAAGGACTGTACGAATTTTATGGGCAAATAAGTTTGGAAGACCATTGACAAATTTCTCTTTCCAAAACGGCTGATTACTATCATCTCTAAGCATGACTCGGGAGATGAAAATATCTTTATACCATCTAAAATCAGACAACTTAGGGCACCTAAGATTACTAAGTTGATCATGAACTAGTAAAGGCACGATTTCAGACTGCCTAAAACTGTGGTTGGTGACATAACTATTAGCAACCATGGACATGTGTTGAAGTTTATTAAAGATTTCTTGCTCAGACAGACCATCAATATTCCATTCATACAATTTATCGGAGGAAACTGAAAACTGGCTTTGGAAGTTTCGTTCTTCAAATTGAATATCTGGGGGTGTTGGTCTGGGGTACCAATTTTTGGTGAGACTAGTAGGGGTGACTCGGTTGGTTAACCTTTTGACTTTTGGCTCAATTTGAAATTCCAAGTTTTTAAAGGCATTTTCTATTTTTGAAATATTAATAGTTTCTGATTTTGTACTGACTATTGACTCAGATTCAGACTCAGAAGAATTGACAACTGTAAAGGAATCTAAGGTTTTAATACCAGATTTCTCAGGTTTAATTGGTGTCAACTGTTCAAGCATTTTTTATATTTTTTGCATTGTGGGAGTGATCTTGAGTGTAGGACTTGTCTTAAGATCCTGGAATTGAGCTAAAGGTTTTTCAACTTTGTACATGAGTGAGTGTAAATCAGTCAGAGTACATGTAGTGGGCTGGTAAGAGCAATATAATTTTGGGGATGAAGTTTATGAATGGAGTGATTTTGGTTTTAAAGGGTTTCACAGATTATTGTTTTCGAATATTAAATATGAGTTATGAACCTGCATGTTTTGGGGCATTATTTTTACACGGTGAGGTTATTATGTTGTTTTAAATGCAAACTTATTTTTGTCCACTCACTCACATGTTTTCTGTTTTGTCCCCCCAGCCAGTAGTCGCTCCAGGAAGGTTGCAAGCTGTGTTCGAGGGCCGAACCGTTTACATCAATAGATTAGGATTCAAGTAATTTCTTTATACTCAAATGTTGTTGTAAATTAAATATGTTAGATGCTCTATTACTGCCCATGTTAGGTTTTACTTGTGAGGCCAGAGGCCATTTAGTATGTATTGTTGAATATTGAAAGCATGTTGCTGGTTGGGGATTATATTGTATATTATGCATGTTGAATTTTGTTGGGTTTGTTCAATTAACATCGGAGACTGCCAAAATTTTGGTAGAATGTCTCGGTTTTTAGTAAGTGGGCTTGGCATTGGGGTGATGTCGGTAACAAGACGGGATTCATCCCAGTTTCCGAGGAATTCTAGGGCGGGTCTGTTACCCACAGACCCTTCCCCCACCTCTCCCTTATGTATTTTTCATAATCATACCGATAGAACTATAGAGATCTTATCACATACAACACAAAAAATCTTACCCTCTCTCTCTCTCTCTCTCTCTCTCTCTCTCTCTCTCTCTCTCTCTCTCTCTCTCTCTCAAATGATTTTTTTCATTTTAAATTTCATTTCATTTTATTTTTCATTATTTAATTATTTTAAAATATAAAATAATCAATTTACCCTCATATTTAACGAAAAATTGTATGAAATGTTGATATTTAGACAGTAAGGGGCGAATTGGCGATAAAATTAGTTCATGTACTTAATTTTCCAATAAAAAAGTTGAGGGTGCAAATTGAAATTAGCGTACAAATTCAGGGGATAAATTGATAGTTAACCCTATTATTGTTATATTATTAATATAAAAGCCTATCCCTTTGAAGGAAAAATCAAACAAATAAAAAACGAAAGCCTATAAAACAAAAAAATTGAATCCTATGACGCAAAAGATCAAACACAATTATTATAAAAACTAAATTATATTAAGCAGCTCTTATGAAATTGATCTATATTATTTATGAGAAAAATATAAAACTTAAAAAAAAAATACATGAAATTGTATAATTTACTCTAAATTAATTTAATTTATGGGTTGGATAAATTCGAACTTGGATGTAAGAGGCAGGCTCACTATCCTAATTAATTGGCCTAACCGATATCAACGAGATAAAGTAAATTAAGGATACACTAAATCAAATGGTTTTACTACTAAACCTTCAGAAAATAAGAAAAATAGGTGGGTCTGGGGTTTGGCCGGGATCATATGTTCGTATATCTTACGACGCAAATACATTCTATCTTCAAATGTATAATATATTCAATAACACAATCTACGGCTCACCTAAGATCTGAGAACTTGTAATTTAAATTTGGCAAATCTCAGCCGCCCGTTCAATAGCGTATTAGTCTACGACATCTAACAAATGACATAATTAATAATTTTCTTTTTTCCTGTTGGGATAGCCTTTCTTTACCAAACTAGAAAAATAAATAAATCTAACAGACGAATTATTGGAGGAGAATATGTCAAACCGCCTATATAACAAACAACCAAGAAAACGCCCTCTCTCTCTCTCCTCTCTCTCTCTCTCGCGCGCGCACACACACACACACATCCAAATCGCCCGTCGTTTATCTCTCACAGCCATGGACAACGTCTCATCTCTGGAGTGCCTGAAATTGGATTCCCAGTTGGAGGTGCTCGATAAGGACGCAGCTATGGTCCCCCTCAACTGTGATACACCAATAATCGGTATGTATGCTTTTCCTTTTCTTTTAATTCAAGGGTGACCAAGACTATCTTCAATTTAATTACTTAGGGCTCAAAAATTATCTTTTTAGTGCTCCTGTATGCTGTTGATTTTTGTTTTTAGGGTTTGTGATGAAGATTATATGAAATTTTCTTGGGCTTTATTCTTTGGAAAAAAGAAATGTGTTGTTTTTATATTATTTTTGTTGTTGTAATTAGAGGGGTTTTTTTTTTGCCAAAATTTCGGTTCAGTTTTTAAAGATGATTCTGCCAGTTGCATGATGGATAGCCGATATGTAATAATATAGTTATTTGTTGATGGTATCATAGATGCAAATTCCTACAAATTTTTTAACATCATCACCCTTCCTTCTCCCTGCTTGCAAACAGAGACTATGACTGAAGAACCAGAGACTACAGAACCAACGGAAGAAGAACGTATTGCTCATTTTTGTAAGCTCTCTATGCATTCGTTGTTATTTCGTGTCATGTTGAAAACAGATCGTATGTTAAAAGATGATTTCTCAAGCCAAGTTATTTTGGTGTTTGCATGATGTAGAATTGATATTTAATAATATAGTTATTTGATGATGAGATCATAGATGTCGTTCCTTCTAACTTCTTTGACATTATGACCCTTTTTTTGTTCTTTTTTTCCTTTTGTATTTAACAATGTAATTGCATGGAAACAGGGAGAAAGACTGAAGAATCGGAGGATGAAGAATCAGAGGATGAAGAATCAATGGATTGGAAATCAAAGGATAAAGAACCAGAGGATGACGAATCAGATGATTGGAAATCAGAGGTTGAAGAATCAGATGATGAAAAATCTAAGGATGGAAAAAGTTATGGTAAGCAATTGATTTTAGGGACAAAAAAAAGGAAAAAAATTGTGCCTTGCAGCTTCTCTTTTTACATGTATATTCATTTTTTTTTATCGTATGACATAATATCTATGTATTTGTTGTTATTCAATATAATGTGTTCACACTACTGATTTTTGGTTTTATGATCTTCATTCATTCATTGTCTTTAAAATAATGATTATTTTTATTGCTTCCATTGTATTTAACAATGGATCTACAAATTGCACACAGGGGAATGTAAGTATTGTTTGAAGGTGGATAAGCACCCTACACAACTATGCTCGTATAGGTATCGAGTCCCAAAGAACGCAATTGTTGGCGAGAGTTGTGTGGTTGCATGTCTTGTATGTGGCTGCTTCTTTAGAGACTCTGTTGTGCTGATTGTGGTCTGAGCGTAGGACGTGCAATTCTTAAGGAATGTACAATCTGTGGGAAGGAAGAAGAACACTCAAATTTTGAGTGCCCGGAACGTGAGGAGAAACGTAAGAATTCTGGCTTTACTTACGACCCTTATACTGGTTCTTTCGAGATTCGCCTTTTGAAATAGGAGAGAATGAAGAGTTAATTGTACTCTAGAGTTAAAGCAAAAGAGCAAGGAGTGCTATTTTCCATAAATGCTATGCATCCTATCATTTTGATGTCTACATCGTGTATTGTTTTTATCACAAATGAATTGCAATTTGCAGCACATGGTCTATTATATTGTTATGCTTGAAGATGTGAGAATCCATCTATTTATAAAATGTCTAAAGTAAAAGGTGGTTTTTATCTCAACATTTTGTTCTTCTCTTATGGGGTTAACATACTGAATTTTAATTTAAAGACTTAGCTAAACAACCGGGCATGAATGACCATTGTTATGTGCAAAAGTTTAAATAACGAAGGTAGAATGCAAAAGTTTAAGAAAAGTTTCAAGTTGTATGTTGGGAGGAAGTTGAGTGGATCTGCCCTTTCTCTTGGTGGTGCTGTTTTCTTATCGAAGGCTAAGGCAAGTGGCCATTGCTGGGTTCGAGTTTTGGCACTGAGCTTGTATGTTATGTTTTATGTTTGGTGTTGCCTTGTAGAGAGCTGGATTTATAGTTAAGTTTGTCCTGGCCATGTGCTTATTGATGTGTATACAGAGAGAAGAAATTGGGCACAAAAAATTTCGGCATCCGATTTAGGAGAAGCCCCTCTCAGTGGCTTAAGATCAATACCAGTTTCTCCTGCCAAGTCATAGAGTTGTTTGTTTTAGAGACTTGGTTTCTTCAGTATCATAAATGACCCAATTCTACTTTTGCCTTGAATACCATATCTGTCAATCCACGAGTAACAGAAAGGCAACTGGAAGAGGGCACAAGCATATGAATGATCATAAAGTTCGGCCACTATATAATAATTCGATATATATTATTTTTATTCGGTAATATGTAAAATTGTGTGTATAATACGTGAATTTTGTGTGTATTGTTTACAATTTGTAAAAAACACGTGTTGCCTTGTAGAGATCTGTATGTTATGTTTTGCTCTATCATTTATGTTTGGTGTTGCCTTGTAGAGAGCTGGATTTGTAGTTAAGTTTGTCCTGGCCATGTGCTTATTGTTATTGATGTGTATACAGAGTTGGCTGAAACCCTCCATGATTTGAGGGCTTTGCTTAGCTATTCAATCCTCTGTAATAGCCCCTGTTAATGAATGAATTTCACTTCTTTATTCTTTAAAAATAGAAAAAAAGTTTACTATTTGAAGTGAAAGCCACCTATTGTCGACTAACAAAGCCTACTATTAAAAAAGAAAGTAAACCATAAAAGAAACAGAACATTACATTGCAAATGCCTCAAAATCTTTTCTTCTATCAAAATCAAAATCACATTTGGCAAAAGTTCATTGCTAACTCTTGTGCAACTTTTCTATTGTGTAATCTATTCAAAGCATCACTGTCACTTGGGTAACCTCTCAATAATCAAGTAGTGAGTCATTTGAATTGAAGGGATAATGTGTACAATAATCAAGGAGTTGATGTAATTGGATTTTTGAATTTCGTGATTGACAATTTCTTTTTTGTGGATGCTTGATTTTAGCTCAATTTCAAATTGTAACTTTATCTTAAAACGTTTGAAATTTTCAAAAGTTGACATATACTGAAAAATACTTCTAAATATTAACTGTGATTTTATTTATTTGGCTAAAGTTAGGAAAGAAAGGGGAACTCATCCTTATTTTTAGAGTTGATCTTATTGATAATGACTATTAACCCCTACAAATAACCCTTTCACGTAAAGTAAATTTAGCCATACCATTTTGAAATTATGGGTTCGTCCTTGATTATGGGAGACATATGCATTGTCAATCCAACTAACTCCCTATTGATATAGATATGATTAGTTAACAATAGCTAAAATATGTCATGAAAAAACAATAGCTAAAATATCCCTCACTCCCTATTGCATAATAAGGGAAACAAGCTTGAAAGGTTTTATAACGGTCTCAGTTAAATATTTCTCGACCATAGATCATTTAAAATTCTAAAGTTTACAATAACTACCTTTCATCCCAATTCACTCATTTACAGGGCGGAACCAAAGGGTGGCTGGGTTGGGCCTCCAGTACCTGTCCTTTTTTTTTTCTTTTTTTTCAAATGGTCTCTGTCAATTTATTGCAAGTTAATATAGCTATTAGAATTTAGCCCATTTGGCCGCATTCAGCACAATTCAGCACCATCAAACTCGACCAAAGATCTTTAATATTTTTTTTTTTTTTGAAAAAAAAAAAAAAAAAAAAAAAAAAAACAAAAAAAAAAAAAAACAAGGCCAAAACATTGTCTGCCTTTCATTCCCCTCGAGAATGGGCTCCTCTTTCCTTCCCCTTTTCTTTTCTCTTTTTTGGTTCGTGTCTGTCATTTTTGTCTTCTCTCTCATTTTTCTTCTTTTCTTTCTCTTTCTTCGTTCGTCATTTCTTTCTCTCCTTTCTCTTTTCTTTTTATTTTTTTCTCTCTTTTCTTGTTTTATAATTACTATGATATATGTTTTTTTTTGGTTTTCACTGTATTAAGTTACCCCAAAAAAAAAAAAAAAAAAAAAAAAAAAAAAAAAAATTCTCCATGTTTATATAGATATTTCATTATAAAATAAAATAAAAAATTTAGCACACCCCTAGAAAAATTCATGGTTTCCACATTGCTCATTTATCATTCATTTACTGTCTCTCTAGGTTTTTGGGTATTTTACTTTTTTCTTTTTTTTTTTTTTTTTTTTTGTTTGGTCGATTCATCTCTCATTCATTTAAACGCCAAATAGGCAATGTACAAAGCACAAACCAATCGCACAATGAACCATACACAACGGAAAAGAACATCTAAATTCAAACCAGTCTAGAACAAAGTTGGCAAACCCAGCACATAACAAAAAACTCAAAATAAACAACATCCATTTGATGTCTACATCGTGTATTGTTTTTATCGCATATGAATTGCAATTTGCAGCACATAGTCTGTTATATTGTTATGCTTGAAGATTGAGATCATCTATTTATAAAATTCTAGTAAAAGTTGTTTTTATCTCAACATTTTGTTCTTCTCTTATGGATAGTAACTGAATTTAATTTAAGACTTGCTAAACAAGTAGGCATGAATGACCATTGTATGTGCAAAAGTTTAAAGTTTAAAGTTGTGGTTGGGTGGAGTTGAGTGGATCTGCCCTTTCTCTTGGTGTGCTGTTTTCTTATCGAAGTCTAAGGCAAGTGGCTGTGCTGGGTTCGAGTTTGGCCTGAGCTTGCATGTTCTGTTTTATGTTTGGTGTTGCCTTGTAGAGAGCTGGATTTATAGTTAAGTTTGTCCTGGCCATGTGCTTATTGATGTGTATACAGAGAGAAGAAATTGGGCACAAAAATTTTCGGCATCCGATTTAGGAGAAGCCCCTCTCAGTGGCTTAAGATCAATACCAGTTTCTCCTGCCAAGTCATAGAGTGTGTGTGTTTTAGAGACTTGGTTTCTTCGTATCATAAATGACCCAATTCTACTTTTGCCTTGAATACCATATCTGTCAATCCACGAGTACCAGAAAGGCAACTGGAAGAGGGCACAGGCTTACCCACAAACAGATACTCTGATTAGAAAGAAGTTGGCCGAGTGCACCTTCAGAAACATGTTTTAGGTTGGGTAAGAACCCCGCAAACTTACAAGATTTGGGATGATCAGGCAACGACCTTCAGCACAAAGAAGCAGCATTTGGGGATAGCTGTGTACAACCTTAAGATCAAGTCCCATAACACTCCTTTGCAGCGACGACCTTAATTCAGATATACTTTTTTCGTCAATCAAACGAGCATTCTCAGACACAGCACTACCTCACTTAACACCATGAACTTCAACTTCGTAAGGACGCATTTTTGACAGGAAACCGTAAGGAATCATGTTGAGACGAAACAAAAATAGTTTTAGGAATGAGTAATCATGGACGTTCATATATGTGTATAGGCTGAGTTTGGTTAATTATTTAGGTATTGGACAGTGGAAAATTAAAAGTGGTTCGACGCTGTAATTGTATTGATTGTGAAAACATTATATTCGTAAAGGGGTATTCCTTTTTATTTTTATTTTATAAAGAAATAGTATCAACCGCCCGGCAATACTATGTATTTTTCAAAAAAATTTAAAAGAAATAGTGTGGTCACATGGATATACTCCTTATATATGGCACTATGTTTTTAAACACAATTTTTCAACCTTTAAATTAGAATGCATTCAATGGCACGCCTTCTTAATTCTTTAATTAATTGCATAATACAATATCTTTTCTCTTTCTTCATTCATGTTTTAATTTCTTTAATTAAACCTCATTAATTGCCACGCCTTCTGCCATTAACAACCTTTTTCAAACTTTTTCTTCTTCTTCTTCATGCCTGTTACATTATGAGATTGACCAATTAAAAAGAGTCCCTAAACTAGAGAGCATTATTGGAGTTTAAATTTTATAGAGAGCTCCTAAAATAACTTTTATATGTTTTTAGCTAAAATTTAACTAAAAAATAGGGAGCATGATTGTGAATGCTCTAACTATGTATTTATTGTTATTCTATGTCATTTTGAAAATAAGTCGTATGGTAAAACGATGATTTCTCCAGCCAAGTTTATAGCCAATATTTGATAATGTAGTTATTGTTGATGGGATCATAGATATCATTCTTTCTAGCTTCTTTGACATCATTACCTTTTTTTTTCATTTTCTTTTTGTATGTAACAATGTAATTGCATGCAACATGTAGTAAGGTTGATGAAGTTAGGAGTTATATTGGTATTTTTTTGAATTTTTTTTTATACAAGCAATAGTCTAAACTAGAGGTGAGTTTACAATGGTGTTATAGAGGTTTGAACTTAAGACCACTAGTTTACAAGACAAGACTAAACTCTATTGGCCTATTGATTTTAGAGACAAAAAGAAAAAAAGAAAAAAAAAGAAGATAGCCCCACTCCTCCCTCATAACCCTGTTGGTATATGCTTTTGATTATATAGACAAAAAAGGACCCAAAATAAAATAAAATTTGCGTCTGCAACTTCTCTTCTCTATTTACATATATTTCATCTGTAATGAGCCCATTCTTGTTCTGCCTTTGTGCGTTTGACCCATAATAAGAAAATAAGTTTATTTACACTCATGGGGAAACTTTTTCATATATCATTGTTGGGTTAACTGTTGATTTACCCCCAAACTTATTCGCTATTTTCAGTTTCCATTTTAAACTTTTTTTTTTGGAAAATTAAGTACGCGAACTAATTTTTATTGTCAATTCACCCTCTAACAACATGTCATCAAATGTCATCCACCAAAAAAAAATAAAATTTTTTTAATTAATTTTTTTTTTTGAAAAAAAAAATAAATAATGATGAAAGAGAACAAAAAAAAACAAAAAAAAAAGAACAAAAAAAAAAAAAAAAAAAAAAAAAAAACTAACAACCACAACAATCAATAAAAAAAAAGAACTAGAACCTCCCTACCCTGTTTTCTTCTTCTCCCATTCCCTATGACCACCACCCTCTACTCCCAAACAAATCCCCCACCCCACAGACCCCTCCCCCCACCTTCCCCCCTTTGTTTTTTCACCCTCGAACCCAGCCCCTCGGGGGTTTTCTGTTGGAAAAATGAGTGCTAAATTGCTATAAAATAAACAAAATAAATACTGCACATAAAACAAATTTTTACAAAAGGAGAATTGAATTAGAAGAACCTTAATTGAGTCGAGGCAAGTGTTGGACACTCTGACCTTAAGACGAATTACGCCCCACACTGGTGCTTATGGTTCACTAGCGTTCGCCTCCCAGAATACAACGACTCCTCTCCTTGTGAAAGAAGCACTGCAATTCACAAGGAACTTTGAACCAAATTATGCAGGAACCTCTCTTTATGAAAACTCTAATGCTTTCTATATGTGAAAGTCTGTATATAGAGAATTAAACTGAATTATAAAACTGCAGGAGGATTGCTCTATTTATAGATGATGAAATACCCTTTCTAAAAGGTATCTCAATCTGAAAAGGCAAACAATGCATCCCTTGGTCTGAAGAGTTGTCACCCCAAAACAATGCATCCCTTGGTTTGAAGAGTTGTTACTCCCCATGTGAAGATGTCTTTAACCCCAAGGGTCATGTCTTTAACCCCAATGAATTTTATTAATTTCCATTCAAATAGGAGAATCAATATTAGTTAATATTAAATTTTCCAACATTTTCTTCTCCTCCCTTTCCCCCATGACCACTCCACTCCCAAACCAATCCCCCACCCCCACATGCCCTTCCTCTACCTCCCCATTCTGTATTTTTCACCCCTTGAACCCACCCATCCCCCCTCTCCTCCAAGTTTTTCTTCTCCTCCCATTCCTCCATGACCACCACCCTCCATCCCAAACCAATCCCCCACCCCCACAAACCCTTCCCCCACCTCTCCCTTATGTATTTTTCATAATCATACTGATAGAACTATAGAGATTCTTATCACATACAACACAAAAAATCTCACCCTCTCTCTCTCTCTCTCTCTCTCTCTCTCTCAAATGATTTTTTTCATTTTAAATTATTAAATTATTTTAAAATATAAAATAATCAATTTACCCTCATATTTAACGAAAAATTGTATGAAATGTTGAGATTTAGACAGTAAGGAGCGAATTGGCAATAAAAATTAGTTTATGTACTTAATTTTCCAACAAAAAAGTTGTTGGTGCAAATTGAAAGTAGCATACAAATTAAGGGGATAAATTGATAGTTAACCCTATTATTGTTATATTATCTATATATATAAAGCAAAAAGCAGAGAATTGTGAAACATTCAAAATACCAAAAAATACCCTTGGTTAATTCAAATGATTAATTAAATGAGGATAATATGGTAAATTCACTTTTTTCATATTAAAAAAATTAAAATTAAAAAAAAATCAGTTAATAGGTCCTACTTTTAAGGAACATAACTACCCATGTTATCTTTTCTTAATTCTAAAAATAAAATAAAAAATAAAAAATAAAACCAATTGGCACATGCGTGAGCATGTGCCAAAGGACTAGTTAATATAAAAGCCTATCCCTTTGAAGGAAAAATCAAACAAATAAAAAACGAAAGCCTATAAAACGAAAAATTGAATCCTATGACGCAAAAGATCAAACACAATTATTATAAAAACTAAATTATATTAAGCAGCTCTTATAAAATTGATCTATAATATTTATGAGAAAAAAATAAAACTTTTTAAAAAAATACAAGAAATTGTATAATTTACTCTAAATTAATTTAATTTATGGGTTGGATAAATTCAAACTTGGATGTAAGGGGCAGGCTCACTATCCTAATTAACTGGCCTAACCGATGTCAGCAAGATAAAGTAAATTAAGGATACACTAAATCAATTGGTTTTACTACTAAACCTTCAGAAAATATACATTTTTTAATCAAATTTAAAAAGAGATATAAACGAATTTAAATTTGTAGAGAATATCTTGGAATAAATATCTACAAAATAGACGGTTTAGATTAATAAATACAATACCGAGTGGGCCCTACAAGGATGTCCCTCAAATATGCTTATTTGAGGGATCCCTCAATTCAAACTCTATATATATAATAGCCCAAATCAGATTATAGATATTAAGTGGAAGGAACATTATCTCGGTCGTAGGATTTTTTGTGCAATCTTTTCCCAAGATTTGAGAGTTTTATCTTGGTAGTTGGTTTTGTATAATGCAACGCTAGCTATTGGGAAGCTCAAGTCAGTAATGCTCTCATCCAGAATACTCACTTTCTCTTGAGCTCTTTTCCTCTCTTCTTCTGTCAGATTTCCATAAAGGAGGGCCAAGTGCGGCAAATCATCTGCAAAGGGAGACATGAAAATAATTATTAGGGTTTGAGTTATGTAACAAGAAGAATACTAGTATTTCTTTTATGCTTCAGTAAAAACTAGTAAGAAGAAAAGTAATATTTGGTGTGAATTCAAAGAGACCGAGATCAACATCAGAATTAGATCCTCATTGCTTGTTAAATTGATCTTAAATTTTGAACTGGTAATAAACAAACGACAAATTAAAACCAAAACCTCAGCTCCCAACTGTTTATTCTTTTTAGCAACATTCCAAGTAGAAAGTATGTATGAAGATTATATTTACTTAATAATGAGGAAAAAACTTACGACAGAACATGTCGAAATGTCTGCAGCAGTAATCTAATATCTCATACATCTGAGAAAATATGCAATAAATATGTTAGTAAAATATCAATGAGGGGAGTTTTTTTATTTTCTACAAACTGAATAAAAATAAAATATCAACAAAACAAACTGAATAAAATAAAATGAAGGAAAGAACAAGAAGTGGACCTTCTTGAAATAGGGTTGCTGAAAGAGGATGCAAACACACTGGTAATAGGACCTCCTGGTAATCACAGCTTCAACTTTAGGAACGTACCCTTGGATAGGATCCTCTAAGGCTTCAAACTTGTTGAGCACGTCATCGGGCGACATACGGATGGACCCCGTAAGGGTAATGTGGGGCTCGATCTTGGGTCCACCAAACTCGGCCCGAAGGCCCTCCATCAGCTTCTTGATCCTACAAGACACATCATCCGTTGGGATGGCCCACAACGAATACGTTTGTCTTTCGTCCTTACTCTCCACCAACTCCTCCAGCGTATCTTGGACGCCATTTTCCATGGTGAAGTATTAAAACACCTTAGTCTCTAGCGAAAGAGCAGATATCAAGAGATTGAGAAGAGGGAGGGATGGATGTGGAAATGTATTTCGTTTTTATTGGGAAGCGATGCTGACGAGATTAGTGGATTATGGTTGGTTACTATAATTTCTCTGCTTTGTTTGTGCTTTGTGGTGTGTGGCTTTATTTTCTCTGGTAAATAAGTAAATTAATGCATTAACTTCTGTTGCAAATACCGAACTATAGTAATTTCTTATTATAGTCTTCTTTGGGTAACAAGTTAAAATCAGTATATCGATAGTGCTAGTAATTTTTTTTCCTTTCCCATTTCTGCCAATTAAAGAGAAAAACAATCCGACCAACTCTTCAAAAAGCTTGTTATTTTCCCATTTTTTGCATCATCTCTAATGCAAAAGGTTACTTGGTTCTTGACTTTTCAATAGCCATTTGGTTCTTAAATTGTTACATGAACAGATTACATTTAAAAACATGATTTATTTACAAATTATTTTGCGATATAGGAGAACAGGCCACCTTTTTTTAGATAAGTCACTGAAAAATTGCAGATAAATTCTCTGATCTGTTTACTGTAAAACAGGAGGTGAAAACACACTAATCAGCAAAAAACTAGACATTATTGTTTTAGATAACGGGTTTTTGGATTTAGCAACGGCCGGCAGCAGTTTACAGACCCTTCGCGATGATATATATCCATCGATGATTTATTCCTCCGCTAACTGCTGCAAAAAGCCTAAGTGTCTCTTTTAGCGACAGCTTTCATCTCCCTGTGGTGCCTAATTGACCCCATTGATTGTATGGTAAGGCTGCTTTACCCACAAAGTCCTTTAACAGCACTGCTTCCCCAAATTGGAATTGTTGAAACTCAAAATAAGGTTCAATAATCAATCCCCATGGCATTCGGCGGCCAAACTGCATGGGAAAACATTGTCGTGAGAGATAGGGAACACCAGGATTGCAAAATGATATATATATATAGGCAAGAGCATATCCTAATCTTATAAGCCCTCTCCATTTGAAAACTTTCAAGAGTGGAGCCAAAATTCCACCATGTTATGAGCTCACTACGGTTCAATATATTATCACTTTTCTTTCCAAGGATCAAATTATCAAAGGTTCACCTTAAATTCCATCATGGTATATATGCCACACACGTCTGTCTAATTAAAAAGTAATCCAGTTACATATCAGTTGAGCCAGTTGACGTTCTATGTTGTAAAATTGAACTGGAAGAATTTCTGATAGTCTTACCTATATCTACACAATCCATATGATGCTTACTAAGAGAATCATAAGTTGGAAAGGAAAAATAACATTTACCTGGGAAACACAGAGCCAGCCCATGAGTTTCGGAGTTCCTAATTAAAAACTGTGAGATTTACGAACACTTAAATCATGCATGAGCACCCAAGATTCCTGAAAGTCAAAGATAGACATACATGAATCTATGTCGTACTTATGAAAGAGTAGAATTGAAAAGAAAGGGATCCAACAAAGGGAACTTTTGTAATGGCACAAACCTACCACCAGCCCCTACCATCCCACAAGTACAAAACAAAACCAGCTGTTTTCTTGTTTATCACCTTAATTCCCTATTCGGCAATATCATTGTTACTTTCTGATATTATATTTTATGACATGTTCTGGCAAAGAGTATTACTTTACAGTTAAAGTACAAGACATTTCAACAACTTCTGTAATTGAACAGAAAACAGAGTGGTAATACCCACCGATAGTAATTTCTTATTAGAGTATTCTTTGGGTAAGAAAAGTTACATAAGTATATTGATAGTGCTGATTCACTCACAAACTTTTAAAGCAATATATGAATAAAGATCTAGATAAAAATTTCCACGGTTGAAATCTAAATAGAATTGATTCAGCTTAAGTCCAAAATTGGGACCTCAATTTATGTCAGTCGACAAAAGAACACAAAAAACATATCAAAACAAGTAGTAACCACAAGAAGAGAAAGCATTACCGTGGAAGATTATCACAAAGCAGAAGATAGTGGTGACGATCATTGCCAAGAAGTTTATCTTCGAGGATGATGTTTTATCAGATTTCATTTTCTTCAATGCATTCATCCTTTCTCTCCTTGCACGCCGCAACCTTGAACGCTTTGAAATTTCTTTGACGAACTCTATATCGGCGGCATGTAATGATGGACCTGTAGGAGGCCGAGGTGGCTTGGGATGCTTTTTAGGGATCTTTTTCTGTTTCTCGACTGTCCTCTTCTCCATTCTTCCTTCTGCCATTTGCCCCATACTACTAGCTAACATATCCATATTCTGACCAATACTTGATACATTATTGCCTGCACTTAGCCCATCACTAGCTGCTATTGATCCATCAACATACAAGTACCCACTCCTTGCCCTAGCCATTGTTTTCCTGGAACATTTACCATCTGAACCTGACCCTTGATTTCCATCTTCTTCACTGGTGCTTTCAGTCTCACCACTTTCCAAGTCAAAATCCAGATCACTTTCCCTAGAACCTAGATGATCCATTACATGCCTAACCTCGGACTTGCCCTCTAAGCCTCTAAGATCTCAAAGGTATAAACATTCGATTCAAACACAAAAAAACCTATACAATATTCTCAGCTAAGTCAGCTAACCCATTTCTAAGATCCCGTGACATCTCAAACACAATTCAAGAGTTTATGGCCATTAAGCAAGAAACCATCTTTTCCTACTAATATGAACAAGTCATATGTAAAAACTATAGGATTTGCTTCTGCATCTAACAAACCAGTACTTATCCCAAACAGTAAAAATGGTACGACCTTGTCATCAATATAACCTCAAATAAAGTGTCCATTTGTTCTCATTTCTTCTTCCTGGAATTTAACACAAAAACAGCCAAAATATAAAAAAAATAATAATAATAAAATACTAGAATAGTTACGAACAGATTCCGCTAAAAAAATTCAGTTCGAAAAAAGCTAAGCATAAAAAATTACGTTTACAATAACTTCCATGATTTGCTTGGCACCCGAGAAAATGTAAGAAAACAGGGGCAATTATAGAAATTGGACGCAAATTTTCTCATTGTAAAGTGAGGCATGATAAGATATAGGACTAGATTGGGTTGCCTAGTATTGTGATCCCATTTCGCCCAATTAAAAAGAACTACAATTCAAGAACTATAACCTTCAAAAAGCTAGGTATTTTCTTGTATTGTCTATCATTTTCTCAGGAACCAAACAGAAGCAAAATTTGAAAAAGGCATGATTGGCATCACAAAGGAATCAACGCACGTACCTTAGACAGAAGAGAGAACGTTTCTTGAAGGAAGGGTAGAGAGCAATTCCGAGAGCCAAACCAGCTGAGCTTAATTGGGGGCATTTCGCAAATATGAAACAAAACTAGGCTTATCTCTCAATGTCATAGCAATACCCGTATAGACGACATACCGTTTGATACATCCTCGCGACACGTCATTCTTTCTTTATTTAGTAATTGTTTTGTTTTTGATCGAAAAAGATTTTATAATTGTTTAACCCTCAATTAGAGATGAAACTTTTTCCTTTTTTTTTATCCTTACAAGTTTGGTGCAAAGGACAAAAAAGGTACCCTACAATTTTTTTTCCAATGATCCAAACCATATATTTTTTAGGTCTTCATTCATAGATCATCCTTACAAAAAATTAGACAAATCGGAAATCGTTTCGACATCCAATTGTGTCTTACAAAATCAATGAACACGGTGCTTCAAGAAAGTACTAAAATTTCAATAACTCAATTGAGTGGTCAAATGATATCGGATTCAAGTGATTTTTTGTATAGATGATCTTTGAATGAGTATCTACAAAATAGACGGTTTGGATTAGTGAAATACAATCCCGAGTGGGGCCTACAAGGAGTGTCCCTCAAATAAGCTTATTTGAGGGATCCCTCAATGGAAGCTCTCTGTATATATATATATATATATATATATATTGTTGTAAATGCATGAGTTGGTGGATGACCACCATACCTCTTAGCATTATCATATCTAATTCTATGTAACCTATATACTAAATACCATAGTTATGAGCTTGTAATTTATGAGTTGTTAATGTCTTCTTACCATTATAAGCCTATAAATAAGAGGTCTTATCAAGATGAGAGATACAAGTTGATTGAACAATTTCCAATTCTATTGTCTTTCTCTAATTTCCAATTCTCTCTACAATTTTCCCTTAGTTATATAACACGTTATCAGCACGACATTGCTCTTGATATGTTTTCTTTCTCTGATTTTTCTTGGTATGATCTTAATTATTATAATGAGTTTGTATTTTACAAAAAATCAGGGCCCGAAGTTCCTCGATCCTCATCATATAATTTGATTAGGACTTAGAGTCCTTTTGATTAGATCAAAACATGAAGTTCTTTGATTCCAAATAATTGAGGGTGTGAAATTCCGTGAATTTAAAGAGCACATAAGGACATGAAACTTCTTGATTTTGTATTAATTAAAATCAGAATTCTATGAGGCCTACGTATGTCAAGAACCCGAACTAGAAGTTTCGAGTGCATATACATCAATTTGAATATGAAGTTCAAAGTACAACTATTAATTCAATTTATTTAAATCTACGAATTTGAACCTGAAGTTTCGAATATATGTTAATATGAACCTGAAGTTCATAGTTTTTCATGGATCTTAAAACTATATATGAACCTGAAGTTCATTACTTATTTGTGCCTATATGAACCTGAATTAGTTGGAAATCCAATTCTTAAACTTGTAGTTTTATGTACATATTGAATCCACATTAATACTAGATTATCTTGGAATTTCATAGTCTTTAATTTATTTATTTTATTCTTTGTTTATACTACTTTACTCATTTTATTTTATTTTGGATTATTAGTTAATTTCATTCTACAATGGTAATATAATATGTTATATAACCTATACATATATATATATATATATAGTTAGTTAGTTCATGGGTTTGGCTTATAACTTTATGTATATTGTGATAAATATTGTTTTACTATATGTATATTTGTATATTTAATGAAGGACTTGAAGATCCTAAATTCTATACATGTAAAGGAATGAGCCAGAAGCCACAATTTTTATACATCTAAAAAGGGCCAGAAAATCCTTTTATATTGTGTGTGTACATATATAATTTCATGGTTTACAAAGTGAAAAGGTGATTAAATGTTAACGTGAACCACGTTGATCAATACCAAATATTAGTTGGTTCTCTCACTGTTATGGTTTATAAATTTGAAGATACTCAAAAGCTGTGTAGTCTCGTTTGAGCTGTAAATCCCACTATACAGTAATGTGTTCAATTTATTGTGAACAACTTTAGCACCATGTACCTGAATGAAAAAAAGGATTTTGTTAATTCAGATATTGGAACATGAAGTCCATATCATAATAATTTAAACCTGAAGTTTAAATATTGAACAAATGTGATAATTATAAGTGATATGAGGAAATTATTGGTGCATACTATATAATATTTACAGTCAATTAAGGTTTACATATTCCTAAATTCATTTTCAATTAATTGGGACCAAAAGATCTCCCATATCAATACTGAATCTAAAGCATGCCTACAAGCTTGTACCCAACAAGATCGGAAGCATAAAAATTATGAATTGCATACTTAACGTCTTCCTCAGAAAAAATATGGGCACAGAAAATATCAGCATCCAAGTCAGGAGAAGCCCTGCTCAGTGGCTTAAGATCAAGACCAACTTCACCTGCTAATTCATAGAGATCTAACTTTGGGAGACTCAGTTTCCTCAGTATAGTAGCTGCCAAATCTGTGTGACGAATTGGGATCATCAAGCAACCACTTCCAACACAGAGAATCAACAATTTGGCACGGCCAGATTTAGTCTTAACATCAAGTCCCACAACAGGACTTTGATAGGATATGGATATGGAAAGGCATCATGCTGAAATACTATATTCCAAGTAATTCTAGAAAATAAAATAGAGAGGAAGGCACAAGCAAATTCAAGAAGTGTTCAAATATATAGGCTGAGTTTCGTGAATATTGTTATTGGAGAATTCAATTCCATCAAAGTAGTACATGGTATGTAGACGAATGTGTTGGGTTAATCACATAGATTTTGGTGATTATGATCCAGGCGATGCTAATTGAAGACCTCTTCTCGATATGTACATAGGGATGTCGAAACTCAAGTCATTAATTTGGAAAAAAAAAATACATTATATTGATCAATCTCATATCTTGTATTTATCTTCCAACCAAAAAAAGTTACTTATATTAGTATGTATCGATCTTAATGAGTTTACCTATCCGGCCAACTTAGTTCATGTGTTCTTAATTTGGCAAATTTAGTCCACGTGTTTGTATCCACTAATTAATGTAAGAGAATTTATCAAACAACTATTAAATGAGGCATTTACATTGCACACAAGAGAACACAAATGTAATTATCAATTATTGGTCAATGGATACAAACTTAGAGACTAAATTAGCCAAATTGAAAACATCGATATAAGATTGGAACTCTTACTAATCATCAATAAAATTCTTTATTGGAGAAGCTCCAATATGAACTAGGTCATCCACTCATATTATCACATAGACATGTTATATACGTGTCCATTGACTTGATACTAATGCTCGCCATTGAAAAAAAAGGTAATAATGTACATCAAATTTGTTCCTGAAACAGGGCTTTGCAGTGGCGAATTTCTCAGTTGTTCTGATCAATCAACGTACCATTATCCACCACCCTAACCTTTAAACTTCAATATTTCCTAAGTGTCCAATTTAAACAGAAATTGTGAGAGCTATCGTTCTGGGATAAATTATGCCAAGTACGTAACTCAAGCATGATGAAGATGTTTGTATATATGCTGATCAGTTTGGCGAGTTTATTGCGATTTAAGGGTTTCTTTTGTAAATAAATAGAGTATGAACCCTGATTAGCAGCATGCTTGATCTTGATGAGAGGTCAGTGATAGGCTTTTTAGTACTTGCGCAAACAGAGTTAAAACTCCTACAAAACTTGCAAGAATGACAAGGTTATTGTAGTATAAATGATTCTCGCAAGGTCGTTCTCCGCAGGGATTATTAAATAACTCGTAGCAACCAAATTCTAATTAATTATTGCAAAAGAGAAAGTTGAGATGTTTGAATTGAAGACCTTAAATTAAAAGGAATTTTAACTAATAAAAATAAGGCAATATGCAAAATTAAAGCTAAGAGCAAGAGAAACAGTTATGTTTTTAGAAATCAAATTAAGAAAGCACTAGGGATCCGCCGTCACCTTAACAATTCTATATAGTTCCCCCAATTACTTATGACCTATACATGCATATTTCGAAGGTTAGGTATTCCTAATATATGCCTACTTGGACCCCCAACATAGAGCGTATATCACACATGCAATCCGTCTGTGGTATTCAGATCAAATCTAAACATACATGACTCATTAAGTTCTGTGAAACCTTTTGAAAAACCATGCAACCCTTAAGACGTGGTATTCATCCTAAGTGAACTTGCACATATTAATCACAAGAAGCCTTCGTCAATTTCAGGGACCGACCTCCGACCAAAACTGCATCAAATTACTTTTCTAAACATCCTAATGGTGATCAAGCATCAAGACACTTAGATAGTTTAACCTAGTGATGAATAATTCGAAAACCTGCATGCATATAATCATAAGCAAATTGGACAGAAACTACATATTCTTTCTAAGGCTCGTGGCCTCACCCTAGCAAAAGAGAGTTAGTTACGCATGTTCACAATTGAAATCCAAGAAAATATCATTAAGAAGAATAAGAATGAAAACACCTAAAATTCGCGAAAATCCAAAACCCTAGCAATTGCTCCAAAAGCCAAAAAGAAGTAAAAAGGGAGTCTCTAAATTGCTGTGAAAAGGAGCTTAAATACCTCCTAAAACCTAGCTACCCAATCCCCACAAGGAAACTAAGTTAAAATAAAATAAGACTAGGAAATAAAGTCCAAATGGGATTAGGAGAATCTGCCAATAATCTGGCATTTTTGGCCTCAAATCTCCTCCAAATCTAGCCCAAGATAGCTCGTTTTAAAGATAAAAATATTCCGAACACTTCTCCAGAAGGCCATGAACCCATCTGAGGTCATCTTGGGCTCCAAAAACGCAATACAAGCCCAAAACGTCACTATTCCAGCACTGCACATCGCTCCTTCATTTATTCGCCAAGAAATCATCGCTTGGTGGAAAAGTCTGATATTTTGATACGATCAAGCTAAGTGGCTCACGAACGTCCTCCAACTGGAATTACTCCAAAATTCGTCCATTTGATTATGTTTTGCTCCAGAGGAAGTCGAAAGTCCTATATTGGAAATATAATTCAAAGTATCAAAATTCTTCCAAAATATTAACCAAAATATACTAAGAATGAGGCTAAATATATAATATAAAATCAACTCATCAGTCAGCTTGTCAGTCTTCTTGTCTTCTAGCATGAACCCTAAACAATCAAACAAATCCTTTAAGCTGGAAATTGCAGTATAAACAAAATATTATATGTATAAAAAAAAGGTCAATGGTTGCAAACTAGTGAACGTTATAGAATAAATCCACCCGAAAAAAGAAAGACAAAAGAAAAAAAAAGGCTTTGAAATACGGTTTCAAAAGCCCTTTTTCTTTTCTAGGTAAAGATTCAAGTCACTTTTTTTCTTTTTAAAAAACGAAAGTTTTATCCTTTTTACTACTAAAATTCAAGTACACAAACCACACTAAATAAAAAAAAATTGAAAATTAAATTAAAAAAAAAAAAAAAAAAAAAAAAAAAATTAATACTTATAATTGTTTTGGAGGTGCAATTGGGTTTTAACCAAATTTGGTTAAACTTATAATAGGCCCAGCCCCTTTTTCACACCAAAACAAACCCTCGCACCATAAGAACAGAAAGTCCCACACACGCCGAGACCCTAGCTTGGCTCAAAATTAGGGTTCTTCTCTCATGGAATGTCAAAAGCGCAAGTTCGTGGCTGCTGCAAGTTGTGAAGGTGAAGGAGGCCGCCGAAGGAGAATGACAGACAGATTTAGCAATCTTCCTGACCAAGTCGCCCACGTCATTATTTCGTTCCTTACCATGGCTGACCTTGCTCGACTCAGTTATGTGTCCAAATGTTGGAGAGAACTTTGTCTTTCATCTCCGGTTTTCAATTTCAATGAATATAACTGCATAGGGAATGCAGACATGTGTGATAGCAAGCTGAGGTTGTTGAATATTCTGGAAAGGTTCCTTTCGCTTCGTGCGGATCATAAGATACAGCGCTTCCGTTTTGATTGGCATCTTCCCCCTCCAAAGAATAACCAAGGCTCATCATCATCATCATGCGGCTGTCGTGATGTCTACTATCGTGTGATGTCGTGCGTCCAGAAGGTGGTGAGATGTAACGTTGAACAGCTTGAGCTTAATCTCCTTGGACTAGGTGAACCCAATCTGAATTTTCCGTCTTCCATCTTTCTTTGTGAATCTTTGAAGTCTCTGTCGGTCTACACAAACCGTGCGATTCTTAGAGCCCCCTCCTCCTCCTCATCTTTTTCCTCTAATCTCAAAGAGTTGCAGTTGTTGAATGTTGTTATAGCAGATGATGAGGGGTTTTTCAAATGGATCTCATGTTCTTGCAAATGCATCCGGAAATTAGGTCTTGACCATACGTATATGATTAAAAATCTCAATATTGAAAGCTCTTCTTTGGAGAGGTTAAGTCTTTCTTATCCCCAACCTGATCTTGACACACTTAACATCTCCTGTGAAAATCTTCAACTGTTAAGTATCTCCTTATGTCCTGATTCACCCTGCATGACATCATTGAATATTTTTGCACCAAATCTTAAAAAGTTGTGGTGGGAAGGGAATTTGATGAATCACCCAAATCTCAGAAAGTTTCAAAGTTTAGAATCTGCTGAGGTTTGTTTTGATTCCGTAGGCAAAGTTTCTCTTGAAAAAACTCAAAAGTTCAAAAGTACTTTGATAGAATTGAAGACTAGAGTAGATGACTTTGAACCCTTATCTGAAGTCTTTCACGGTTTAAGAATCAATGAAGTTCTTATTCTAAATGAAGCGGCCATTAAGGTATAGTAAAAAGAACCTGATCGAGAATTTACTTATTTTGAATTATTATTTATGTGAAGTTTAAATTGACAAAGATGAGAGAGATTTTCCCTATACAACATTGCAGGTTATGTTCAAGCTGGAAGGGTCGATGCCAGTTTCATTCAACAATGTTCAAAGTTTGCGTATGAATATTGGGTGTGTAACTGACGAGATAGTCCCTTCAATGGTCTCTGTTCTTAGAGGAATGCCTTACTTGCGTATCTTATACATAAAGCGTTGCCCACCTTTTCATGAACTTGAATCTAATGTAAGTTGGAGTTTGTCTTGCTTTTTGCTTCTCTCCCACACATGTAACAAAACCCAAAAAAGATTGTGCTCTCTCTCTCTCTCTCTCTCTCTCCTTTTGAGTATAATGCATGTCCTTTTCTTTATATTTAGTTTTAATATTTTTCCTTTTTTCTATTTTTGGAATTAATCTTCGACTTATCCGGTTTTTGAATTCATGTCTTTCCAGAAATGCGGATTTGATATAGGATACTGGAAACTGCAAAACCTTGGATTTATTAATCGACTTGAATTCTTCAGCATAGAGATTTTAGACTGGTACAATGTAGTTGAATTAGCAAGGTACGTACTCGAGTGTGCTCAGAAATTGAAGAAAGGTGTCATAATTTGTTCAGCTCAAAATTTGGAGGAAGTTAAGCGGAAATTAGAGAAATGCAAAATGATTTCCACGGCTGCAATTGTCTTTAAGGAAAGACCCAAAAGTGAACGAAGACTGCTCTTTTAATTGTTTTGCAGAAGTTATAAGTTTATGTTTTAGTACCGAAACGTTATTGTGAAGTTTGGTAGAACCACTAATGGGGACAACTCGTTTAGACTAAGCATTATTGGGTTCATTGGTTTGTACTGCCATGGAAGAAAGAGCTTCTTTTTTTTTGTTCTCTCTCTCTCTCTCTCTCTCTCTCTCTCTCTCTCTCTCTTGTTTTGTTCTTTTTCCCTGCATCTGTAAAATGATCAGCCTCCACTCAAAGGGGAGCCTCTTCGACTTGGTGCTTTGATCCTTATTGTTTGATGTGCATTTGAAGCATGAAAGGCTGCAATGGCCTTAACTTGCATATAGCAAATTGACTAATTGTTAGATGTGCATTGATAAGATGCTAATTGACATTATTGACTAATTGTACAACAAAGGAAACATTATACTGATCTGTAGCTGAAAACGCAATGCTTCCTTGACACAAAACTATTTTCCTGAAATGCAATTTTGGCACGTCCAACTCTGTTTTCAGTTACCAATTAATAATGGCTAAAGCTAATGCATAACGAGCTACTCAAATCAGCTTGGACATATTAAATTCACATTCTCCCTCCCATTTTCTCTCTTGCACACATTTTGGTGTGAGTTTTTTTTATTTCACTGTAAAATGCCAATTATATATGTCGAAGCTCTACTCACTTGAATCTTGGTTTCTTGGTTTACTAATTTGCTTATCATGTTATTGGGAAAGAAAATAGACAATGTTGTTTAAATCTGCAGCGGTTTCTATCTTTTTAACTCAGCAGAAATTGGACAATATTCGTTTAGATGACGATTATGTATCTCTTACGTCGGTTTTAAATCTGTTGCAGCGGTTTCTTTTCCAATAAAAATTTGGGAAAGGGTGTAGCCGCGCGGCTATACTATTTTAAAAAAATAAAAACCAGATATAGCCCCGCGGCTATACTATTTATTTATATATAGGCTTAATTATGTACATGCCCCCTGTGCTTTTAAGTTTATCTCAGATTACCACCTGTGGTGGAAAATGTCTCAAAGTACCCCCCAACGTATAAATAACCGTCTCAATTTACCCCCTCCTTCAAATTTTTTGACGGTCCGTTACGAACAGTGGGCCCCACTTCGTTTTAACCTTTAAGCTGTTCGAATAAGGGTTTCTCAGTTTGTAACAAAGGGGAAATTGGGTTTAGGGTTCATTGGAGAAGAGGGTTGTTGTCAAAATTTGAGGGTTCCTTCGATTTTGGGAGAAATTGGAGAAGAAATCATTGTTTGGCGTTAGACTTTAAGGCTAGAAGGTGCGAAGATGGTGGTGCTTAGAGAATCTGGAGGTTGTCAACCCATATGTAAGTGGACCCATTGTTACTCGATTTTCTTGATTTTGGCATGTGCATTGAACTGTTGTTAGGATTTTGTTTTTTGTTTTTTGTATACTTTTTGACTCTGCTGGTTCTGGTGTGATCATTGTGTGGTCCTTGCATGTTCCTAGTGTGGTGTGTTGCTGGAAATTTTTTTGTTCTTTCATATATTTTTTTATTCTGTGCTGGCCCCAATATACCTTATGTGGTCCTTGGGTGTTCCTTGTATTATCCTTTGTGTGGTCCTTCTTTTCTCTTTGTGTGTTTTTTTCCATTTGTTAAGTGAATGTTCCTGTTACGCAGATAAAGATGCTGATGAGGTTGTCACATTTAAGTTTTTCCATGGAGGTAAACTAGTGAAAAATAGAAAGGACAGTCAGTGGTCTTATTTAGGTGGTGAAGTCAGTTGGTTTGATTACTGTGAGGTTGACTATATGTCCATGTTAGAGCTATTTGGAATGGCTAAAGATTTGGGATATGACGATGGGTATGATGTGAGTTTTTATGGTGAAGAGTTTGGAACTAGTAGACTCATTCAAATAATATCTGATAGTACACTTTTAGCTTGTATGAGCATGGTACCTAAAAGCAATAGCAGGGTCGTAGTTTTGTACTTGAAGGTAGTGAGCTTAACTTCAAGCCAAGTGGGGAATGATAGCAGTGATAAAGAATATTCTTGTTCTGAGAATGATGATAGCAGTGATCCAGACTTTGAAGACAGTGACTATGCACAGAGTGATGAAGAGATTGAATTATTGAAGAATGATGATAAGTGGTTTGAAGGTTATGTGGATCATAGTATTTTTGACAATGATCCTAATGCAGAGCAAAATGATGAGTCAGACAATGGAGAAGAGTCACCTACACTTACCTGCCCAAATAGTTCACAAAGTGAAGATGATGCAGTGGGTGAAGTAAGAAGGAAGAAGAATAGGATGCCAAAAGGTGAAGATTTCAGACCTGAAATTGATATGGGAAGCCCAAGTTTCAAAATAGGTTTAAGGTTTGCAACTGCCGAGTTGTTTAGAAAAGCTGTGAGGATATACTCCATTAATTGTGGAAGGGAGTTGATTTTTATGAATAATGACCGTAACAAAATAAGAGCAGTATGTGAAGAGGGCTGTCCTTTTGTTATCCATGCTTCAAGTGTTAGTGGTAGCACTTACCTGCAGGTGAAAACCTTTAATCCTACACATGTTTGTAGCAAGGGGACTAAAAATATACATGCTACTGCTGGCTGGTTGGCTGAAAGATATTCTGGGCAGTTAAGGCTCAATCCAAATTGGACTGCTTCTTCTTTTGTAGAGCAAGTTCACCAAGACTATGGTTACAGACCATCTAGAGCAACTGTGTACAGAGCAAGAGCCATGGCAGTTTGACATTGTAGAGGGGTCTTACAGTAAACAATATGAAGTATTGTGGGAATATTGTCATGAGTTAAGAACCAGGAATGTGGGAAGTACAGTTATCATTAAATCTGAAATGGAAGGTGATAGGCCACGGTTTCAAAGAATTTACATCTGTCTTGCAGCCTGCAAGAAGGGGTTTTTAGATGGTTTGTAGGCCTGTGGTTTGCTTGGATGGGTGTCATGTCAAGGGGCCTCACCCTGGGCAAGTGCTTTCTGCAATGGGAGTTGATGCAAACAACGGAATGTTTCCACTTGCCTATGCATATGTAGAGATTGAGAGCAATTCAACATGGCTGTGGTTTTTAGAATTATTGAGTGGTGATCTCAATATTACGAATAGCCATGGTTATGTATTTATGACTGACAAACAAAAAGGGTTAATAGATGCTGTGGATGCTCTATTCCCTCAGGCAGAGCATAGACATTGTTTGAAACATCTATATGGGAACTTCTATTTGGAACATAGAGGTCTTGCCTTGAAACATCAAATGGAAGCAATTGCTAGAGCCACAACAGTGCCATGGTTTCATGCAGAAATGACAAAGATGTTGCAGTTGTCTAAACCTGCACATGATTGGCTCATGGAGAAAGATCCTAGGCATTGGAGTAGGGCATATTTCAAGAGTGATTCCAAGTGTGACATGCTTATGAACAATCTATGTGAGGCATTCAACCGTAGCATAATGGATGCCCGAGACAAGCCTATTCTGACTATGCTAGAAAGAATTCGGTTGTATATAATGTTGTTGATGGCGGGAAGAAGGGTTCTCTGTGAGAAATGGCATGGACAAGTTGGGCCAAGAATTAGAAAGATATTAGAGAAAAACAAAGGAAAAGCTCAGTGGTGCATTCCTAAGGCTGCTGGACAGAATCAGTTTGAAGTAATGCACCATAGTGGCCGCACCTTTGCTGTTGATTTGAATGCCCACTCTTGTTCATGCCATGCTTGGGATTTGAATGGAATACCATGTTTGCATGCATGTGCTGCAATAAGTTGGTTTCATGGGAATCCAGAGGACTTTTGTGATGCAGTGTACAAGAAAGAGGCTTATTTGAGAGCCTATGAACCAATGATTATGCCTATGACTAGCCAAGATCAGTGGATGAAGGTTAATTTACCTCCATTACTCCCTCCGAAATACCACAAGCAGCCTGGTAGGCCTAAGAAGACAAGAAAACAAGCTGTTGAAGAACCTAAACTTCCTGTTAATCCATATAAGCTTCCTAGGTATGGCATCCCTTTAAAGTGTGGCAATTGTGGTGGAGAAGGGCATAATCGAAGTAGTTGTAAGGTATGTGGTTTTTAGAATTATTGCTTTACATTTAAATGTATTTGATTTGGTTTCTGACTTGATGACTTTGGTTATTAGGAACCTAGAAATCCCAACATAAAGCCTACTAGGAAGAGGAACATTGCCAAGGACAAACTTGCAGTAAGTGCCACAGTTTCAACTATGTTTTCACTCATCAAAATTTTATATCATGGAAACTTCTAATTATTATTTGTTTTAGGTAAGAAAGAGAGATGGTGGAGACCAAAGTGGCGGACAACAGAGTATGCAATTAAGGCAAAGGAAACACTCAAGCACTTCCCAAGGGCCTTCTCAATCCCAGGCATCTCAAGTAGCTGCTGCTTCTCTATCCCAACCATCTGAAGCAGCTGATGCTTTTCAATCTCAGCCATCTGAAGCAGCTGATGCTTTTCAATCCCAGCCATCTCAAGCACCTGAACCTGCCAAATTATCTCGAGTACAACAACGTCGGAGGAGGATGAAAGATCAACAGAGGAGCCATTTTGTCAAAGATCCTTTTTTTCATCCTTGAATGTTGTGGAAGACTTTAATGGTCCAGACATGGTTGTTGGTTTGTGGGATTATTGATGTCTGTTATGGTTGGAACTTGTTTTGGTTGGAACCTATATATTTGATGTTTGTTTGGAACCTATTATGGTTGAACCTGTTTTGGAACCTAAATATTTGATGTATGTTATGGTTTGAATATTTGATGTATGTTATGGTTGGAACCTATTATGGTTGGACCTGTTTTGGAACCTGAATATTTAATGTATGTTATGGTTGGAACCTATTTTGGAACCTATTTTGGTTTGTGCATATTTCCTAAGGTTGTTATGGTTGGAATCTGTTTTGGAACCTGTTTTGGTTTGTGCATATATTCATAAGACTGTTATGGTTGGAACCTGTTTTGGTTTGTGTTCTGTTTTGGAACCTGTTCTGTTTTGGTTTGTGCTTATAATGACAGGTGCTTTTGCTAGTTTTGGGCTTTGCCTCTTGCTTTCCAGATTCCAGTAAACTTTGGCATGTTACCAAAAGCTACATATCCACCATAAACTTTGGCAAAGAAGGCAGGTCCTGCTTTTTTAGGGAAAACTGAATTTTGGTTATCTTCTTCTAGATTCATCAAGAAATTACCATTCAATTTACCATTCATATCACAGATCAAACTTAACTAGCATTACATTACTTAACTAACTAGCATTACATTCATGTCACCATTTGTAACCTCTAAACAACTTACCATTCATGTCACCATTTGTAACCCCTAAACAAATTACAATGAACAAACTTAACTAGCATTACATTACATTACACTGCCAAAGTGTCTTACATTAGATTAGCATTTGTTCTCAAATTAAATTTGCCCATTAAACTACTGCCAAAGTGCTTAACTACTGCCAAAATGCTTAACTACTGCCAAAATGCCTTACATTACATTAACATCAGGTATCAAATTACAATGCCCACTGAACTACTGCCAAAGTGCCTAATTCATCTTCATGGCAAACACCACCAACCAGGAAAGCAACATAGCAGCCCACAATATTTTTGACTTTGCTCGAATATTTGCATTTTCCTTCTCCACCCTATCAATTTTCCTCAGCAAACCAGGTATCAACGATTTTGAACGCTTACACATTTCTGCATCAAACCACTGAAAAAACCTACATCCTTTTTCTCCCCTTCCCTTATATCAACCAAGAACAATGACTGAAAATTTGGGTGGTAAAATGACTGAAAATTTCATCACTAACAACTCTATCAATTTGTGATGCCCAAAATAATGACTGAAAATTTTATCTTAAACATGCTTACCTTTGACTTTGGGCAGACTAGAAATCTTCGCCCTGGGTTTGAACTAGTCCAAGAAGTCTGCATCCGTGCTAACTTCCCACAATGACACCATTGGCCATGCCCTCCTTCTCCTTGCTTCTCTCCTGTTTCCATCATCCCAAATCTTCTACTCCACAATCTTCCAATTTCAAACTCCACCTCAGAGTTTTACAAACAATGATTTCTTCTCCAATTTCTCCCAAAATCGAAGGAACCCTCAGATTTTGACAACAACCCTCTTCTCCAATGAAGCCTAAACCCAATTTCCCCTTTGTTACAAACTGAGAAACCCTTATTCGAACAGCTTAAAGGTTAAAACGAAGTGGGGCCCACTGTTCGTAACGGACAGTCAAAAATTTGACGGAGGGGGTAAATTGAGACGGTTATTTATACGTTGGGGGGGTACTTTGAGACGTTTTCCACCACAGGTGGTAATCTGAGATAAACTTAACAGCACAGGGGGCATGTACATAATTAAGCCTTATATCTTGTAGCTCAGCTTTAGACTTTCCTTCAACAGAGAGACTTGTCTGGGAAGAATGTGGAGAAGTAGGCTCAGGCTCATGTTTAGGGTAGTCATGCTTAGGAAAGTCTCTGTAGATATATTCAACAATACGGTGGACTTCAAAACGATCCCACCATTTAACAGAAAATTGACGGGAAAAAATTCGGGTTTCCCAATTAACATTGTAAGACCATTTCATAATCCAAGGAATCTTGTAACGAGTAAAGAAAAGTAGGGGAATAGGAAAGAATAAATCACGCTCAGGGAGTTTTACTTTAGAGGAGAAGTAAGTAATAAGCTCAGTGATTTCGGGATGAATAATTTCTGATTTGGGGCCATGTGTATCCCACCAGTGGAGAAACCAGTAGGGAAACTCACAACGGAATTTACTGTCAAAATTAATGAACCATGAATGTGTGAAATCAAGAGTTTGATGTAGAAATATGTAATACCAGGATTCAACATAATCAGCATAATTATATTGTAATTTAGATGGAAGGGTTCTTAGCTCATAAGGGTGTGCACCCCAACTTTTCTGACTCAAGATCTGATAGATGTAGAGGGAATGGTAAATGATTTTCTGAGGATCAGTTTTATCACGGATTGGCTTAATATCAACAGATTTAGTCTCATGAAGTATTTCTCTATAGAATTTAAGGGACTTGTAAGGACTATGTGGAAGATAATGAAAGCCAGGAGGAAAATGGTTCTAGGCAATCATTGCAGGGCTCATAGATACAGAAACATGGGGTTCAAGAATAAAAAGATTAGCAGTACTCCTAAAAATGTAGGGGGAAGTCTTAGGATAAAAGGTAGAAGAAGAAAGTGGGGTTGCAGTAGGAGGTAGCTGAAAGGGGTCATAACTGGAAGTAAGTGCAGATTGGTAATTGGGTCTTATTTGGCTCAATGTAGATCCTAAGGGACTAAAACGATTAACCACTGGAATAGGAGAAAGACTAGGGTAAGGAGTAATCATAGGCTCAGTTTTAGGAAAGGAAGAGGAACCAGGCTCATTTTTTTTTATAGATTTTTGGCTTAATGAGGCAGGGAGAATCCTGGGTAATTGGGGAGTTTGGCTGTAGTGATCTTTGTGTTTATCTTTTTCTTTTCTTCCGGCCATTGCTTATCTTGTAAAAATTCTCTGGTAAGAAAATCAGGAACAGAATTCTCACTACCTTTTAGAAATTCAATATCAAAATCAAATATGCTTAAAAGTGCTTGCCATCGTGCAAAAATCTGTTCTGATGCAATATTTTGGACATCTTTTTCTAAAACATGTTTAGCAGATTTGCAATCAACACGAACAAGAAACTTTTGATTTAATAAATCATCTTGAAATTTAGTAATGCATAGTACTATAGCTAATATTTCTTTTTTAATAGTACTATAATTAGACTGCGACTTGGACCAAATACCAGAATGGAATCGAACAATTTGCTCAGAAGGAGTAGAAAGAGTTCTCTGTTTAAGAATACCACCATAACTATTTCAGAAGCATCAGTCTCAACAATTTTAAAGGAATCTGTAGTTGGGATACCAAGACATGGAAGTGTCCTAACATGACTCTTAATTTGTTTAACAATCTCAGTATGAATAGGGGACCAGGGAGGAGGATTAGTCTGTAATCTATCATATACAGGTTTACATTGTTTTCTTAAATTTTTGTAGAAATCCGAAACATAGTTAAGGGATCCTAAAAATCTTTGTAATTGATTCTTATCAATTATTTGGTCAGGAAATTTATCAGCAAATTGTATGGCTCTATCTATAGGATGTATTTGTGATTGACTAATATTAAATCCAAGAAATCTGATATGAGTTTGAAACAATTTAATTTTCTTAGCAGAGACAACTAATCCATTAGCTTTTATTATTTGTAAGAATTTATACAAATGTTTCCAATGTTGTTCTATGGACTCAGAGAATATAAGAACATCATCAATATAAACTATAGAAAATTGACTGTATGGATTAAAAATCTCATTCATTATATTCTGGAATTCACTAGGAGCATTCTTAAGACCAAAAGGCATTACATTCCATTCATAATGACCAAAGGGAGTAACAAAAGCAGTTTTATATCTATCAGACTCAATAATCTGTATTTGCCAAAAACCACTCTTCAAATCAAATTTAGAAAAGATAATAGCTTTGCTCAACCGGTTGATTAAATCTCTTTTATTAGGAATAGGGTATCTAATCCATTCTAAAACAGTATTGAGAGGTTTGTAATTAATAACTAGTCTAAGCGATCCTCTTTCTAACTCAGCATTTTTCTGTACATAAAAAGCAGGGCAAGACCATGGTGATTTGCTACGTCTAATTATATTTTTTTTGTAATAACTCATTTATTTCATTTTTGCAAAATTCTAAGGGCCCGTCTGGTAACGTTTTCGGAGAATGTTTTCTGAGAATATTTTCAGAGAATGAAAACAAGAAAACAAATTTGCATTTTCAGGAAATGAAAATGCGTCTGGTAGATTAATTAGAAAACATCTTTAGAAAACAAAAACAATGAAAACGTGTCTGGTAGTACAATTGTTTTTCAGGTGTATTTTTGCTAATTTTAGTTCTAATTTTTTTTTAATTCTGATATTTTTAGAGGCTAAAATTATTGTAAACAATGAAAAAAAATTAAGCTCAAAAACTACCTTATCTCCTTTTTTTCCTTTTTTTCTTTTTCTTCTTTTTCTCCTTTTCTCTCTTTCCTCCTTTTTTCTTCTTCTTTTCCTTCACATGGCTGCTTCTTTTTTCTCTTTTTCTTCCTCTTTCCTACTTTCTTCCCCTTTTCTTCTTCCTTTCCTTCCCCAGGCCGTTTCTTTTTTCTCCTTTTCTTCCTCTTTTCTTATTCCTTTCCTTCCCAAGCCACACCCACTCCTCCTTCCTTCCATGGCTGTGATGGTTTGATTGGGTGATGATGGTGGTTGAGTTGGGTATGTGGTGGTTCTTCTTCTTGTCTCTGTTTTTTTTTCTTCTTCTTCCTCTGTATTTTTTTTTCTTAATTTGCAGATTTGTTTATTTTGGGTCAGAGAAGATGGGTGTTGTTCCTGTTGGTGGGTTTATTGGTTGTTAAGAGAGAGAGCTAGAGTTGTTGATGGGATGCATTCTTGTGTCTTCGGAAAACACTGAAAATGAAATCACTGAAAACAACTTTTTTTCATTTTCAACTTTTGTTCACAAAGTCAGATTTGTTTTCAGAAAACGTTTTGTGAGGGAAAACGAAAACGATGCACCGAACGTGTTTTTGTGAAAAACAGGAAACAAAAACAGAAAACAAGCTCTAAAAACATTACCGAACGGGCCCTAATATTTCTTGGCTCATCTGTATTGGACGGGCTTTAGTAGGTATATTTTTTTTCAGAAAAATTCTTTATATAAGGCAGACTTACTATATGATTTTTTCTATGCCAAAAAGCAGTGGGTAAATCAGAACATATTTCAGCAATCAATTTTTTCTCAAAATCTTGAATTTGTTTTTGCAACAAAGAGGTGCTTAATTGAGACTCAATACGTTTAGATTTCACTTCATCCTGGAGATGTCTAATCTGGTTAGTTTTGTCTTTAATTAAGGAAGTTGTCATAGTTGTAATATTTTTTCCCATAAATTTTAACTCATGTAATTCAGATTTAGTAAGAAATTCAAACTTAACTTTTTCTCCTAAAGGACTTGAAATGACTCCATCAAATTCAACTTGAAAAGGATACAGAAGGCTTATGAAAGGTAGGCCTAGAATGACTTTATCAGTTATATTTTTAATTAAAACAAACAAGGTTTTAAAACAAACCTTATTTTGACAAACATGGGCTTTCGGAATCTCATAATTTAAGTGTAACATTTTCCCAGAAGCAGTACTCAGGGATTCTGTAGATTTTGTATAATATTTTGTGGGAACTAATCCTTCTTTTATACAATTAAGATCAGCTCCTGAATCAAATAAGGCAATAGTACTGATTTCAAAATCTTTAATAATTATAGTGACTTTAGAATACCATTTCCTAAGAGGGACATGATTAATTAAATTAATGGCGTGACCAATTTTCTCATCCTCTTCAGAATGGGTTGGACTACTTGGTTACTATCTTCTCTTATCATTACTCGGGAAATAAAAACATCTTTATACCATCTAAAATCGCTTAATTGAGGGCATCTTAGATTGCTTAGTTGATCATGTATTCTAGACTGAGTATGACTTGGTGTTCCTATAAAATGCTCAATTATTGTATAAAGGAGAGTATTAACACTATCTTCTATACCTCGACCTATATTTTCGTCAAACAAGGGAAGACCTTCTTCATTGAGTTTTACTGCATGGATAATATTTTCTCGAGATTCATTAGTTAGATGCTTATCCCACCATGAACGTAAAGTTCCTGTAAAACCTGTTTCTAGTAAAGGGATTATCTCAGATTGCCTTAAATTATGATTAGTAATATAACTGTTAGCTACCATAGACATGTGAGTTAATTTATTCATAATTTCTTGTTCAGATAAACCATCTATATTCCATTCATATAACTTATCAGAAGAAACAGAGAGTTTGAGTCTAAGTTGCAACTCATCCAACCCAAGTGGCTGGTTTAGGATTTCTGAGTTGAAGGTTTTAGTTTCTTCTTCTCTTTCTTTTATTCTTCAAGGTATTTCTTGGTTTTCTCCCTTAAGGTCTGACCCGTGAGTCCTTTTTCCAAACGATAAGTCCCAGGGTGTGGCACGAGCGGTGGGCAGGAGACAGAGAGCTAGGGAGAGCACTGATAGGTTTCTTTTAGGATAAACAGTAAGATTTAGAAGTCACTATTTATCTTCTTCTTCATCTTTCCAACCCATACACTTGAGCAATATGAGTCGCCTCTTTAGAACAAATTCTTGTAGTTCAAGCAGCTCTAGAACCACCATAGGTCGCCTACCTGAGATAGTAAATGAAGAACAATTTGAGTATAATTCTAATAATGATAATGAACAATTAGATTTTAGAGACTGGAATATACCTAAAGTACCTAGTCAAAATATATATAGGAAAAAATGGTCTTTATCTGCATTTAATTCAACTACACATGTTAAGACAGTAGAACAGGTTTATGCCTTAAGTAAAGAACATGAGTCTTGTCAATTATTAAATCTAGATGCAATTAAAAAACACAAGCATGATGGTAATAATTTCCTGCATATTGGCCTTGTTCAAGTTGTTGCTAAGCCATTAACTAGATTAGGTTTACAAGCCTCTATTTTATTATGTCTACGTGATGCTAGATTCACTGTATTTAATGATAGTGTGCTTGGTATGATTGAGTCTAGTCTATGTAAGGGTCCAGTACATTTTGATTGCTATCCTGATTTTACAGTTAGTTTAAATGATCCCCATATTCTTAAAACTCTAACCTTGAATATTAAGACTTCTGGCTATAATGTTCTTCCTGGCACCCAACCTTTAGCACTAGTATATAGGATATATTACAAAGTCACAGGAACAAATATGAATTTTCAAGCTTTAAATAAGAGTCCTAGAGATCAGACACTATTAATACAAAGTTGTACACCTGATGCTAATATACGAATTCCCCATACGGTTAAGTGGTCTGAGATTAGTTTACCTAGAGATTGGACTTTAGTTACTGAGTCTCAACCTGCTCCTATCCAACATAGTTTGAATAATTTAGATTATATACAACAATATTTAGATGGCACTGTTAAGATTAATTTTGGTAACCAACCTAAATCCACGGTTCAATTACAACAATTACCTACACCAAAGAGACATGAGTCAGCCAGAAATGAGCCAGCTAGACATTCATCTGCTACATCCTCTTCTATTCAAGAAAGAGATTTAGAAATAGAAAGAGCCTTGATTGATCTAAAATTAGAATCCCTACGAAAAAAGGCCCAAGTAAGCCATCCTTGTTACGGCAATGCTCCACCCACAAATGAGCCAAAACCAGAGTCCCCTCCTACTTCACCTACCCAAACTGATTTCTTATAGCTAGTGAAATAGCTGCAGCCCACATATATGACATAGATAAACAATTAAGCGTCCTTAAAAAAGTTGAGTCATTTAAAATTAACTGGAAAGCCCTAGATAAACATCTTCATGACCCAAACAATAAATCTAGAAGAGATATATATCACCAAATTATCCCTGATAGAAATATACGACAAGAAATATTCAATGAATGGAAAAGTTATATGAGGTATGAGAAAAAAGAAATCTATTATCTTGATTTTGTAGAAAGCCGTTACATTTCCAATAAGTTAAAAACTTTGACTAAAGAAAAATGGGTAAAGTTAGATCAAACTGAGGTCATTTCTAGTCACCCTCCTGCAGAAACTATTGTATTTAGACATGGATCAAGAACTGTTGTTGCAAGCCCTTTTAAGATAGCTGACCATGCCGATGAGCCTAATAAGCGTTTAGTAGAACAAAATAATTATGCGAATCAAGACAATCATATTTTACATATAAGTAATTAAAAAGATATTTATATGCACAAGCAGTGATGCAGCTAGCTAGAACAGCAAAAAGTGGTGCAAATGCAAAAGGTTTCACAATTTTAACCACTGCAGGAAATGCACTCTGCATATAAGAACCAAACAAAATTGGAGCAACAATAACCTACAGACGACAGAATAGAGACAATAAGCCCCAGCTGATGGATAATATAATATTACTAAAGTTTCTTATATTTAACTTAACCTGCATGGTGCTCATTGACAGTTTGGCAACATCCACAGGGACGTAAGTCTTTGCCAATATCTTTGTTAGTAGAGGAGTCAGGGGTACTGTCCCAAGAGTTGTGCATACCGTCATTACAATAGACATCCCCTTGAGCAATTAAGGTCACTTGAAAGGCTATTTCATAAAAAAAAATATTGAATGGAGTTGAATAAATGGCCTAGGCGGACGCTAGGTGGGTGCTAGGAGGGCTAGGCGGGCTAGGCGGGCGCTAGGCGGTCTAGGCGGGCGCTGGAGGGAGAGAGAGAGAGAAACGAGGATGACGATGGTTCTATGAGGCGAGAGAGAGAGAAACGTGGTTGACGATGGAGTTATGTTTAGGGTTTAGAAAAGGGCCCCCCGGCTATAAACAAAATGACCCTAGTAAAGCCGGTCGGCTATACTGTTTTTTAAAAATCTTTTGGGGGAAAAAAAAAGGAACGCGTAGGATATAGCCAGCCGGCTATACTAGTTTTTTTATAATAAAAAAACCATTATATTTGTAAGCATCTCAAGGGAACCGAAAATATAGTTTCTCAATTGTTGCTTACAAATTATTCATCTCAAGGGAACCGAAAATATAGCCACCCGGAAATACTTAACCTCTAGGAAGACGGTGAAAAAAGAAATCCAAAAGGCTATGAAGAATCTCAAGGGAACCGAAAACAGATCCACCTTTTCTTCCCTCAACAAGGACGATGAGACATTTTCCGTTGTTAGCAGGTTGAGAGAAGTTGAAGCAATCACTCTCGCAGTGTTTGAGTCACTTCTTTCCTTCATCTCCGGGCCAAAATCACAACCAAGCAGCTGGTCAGTGGTCAAGATGATGCAGCCGAAGAAATTGTCTTGTGAGGAAGCAACATAAACAGATGAATTTTCTGTTAGACTTAAAAAAACTGAACTCTATAATAAGTTCATACTTTATTTTGACGAGATGATGCAAAACAAATAGCCTCTCCATGTATTAGTAAACATATACGTGAATTATGATTGAATGATTGTAACATTGTAATAAAATACTAAGAAAGTTTATAAGATAAATTAATTAGTTAATGAGTTGTTATGCTATAGTGTGGGAAGAGACATTGCACAAACATCGCCTGGGGAACATGCATATGGATTATGCAGATACATCTTCTATCTTCTTACAAGACACAACAAGAAGAAATGACTTTCCACACTTGCTCGAACAGCTTCCCTTCAAGGCCACACCCGATAATTGAAGAAGTTTATACATGGCAATACGGTTGTGTTGCGTACTTGGAGAAATTTGGACCTTGGGATAGACTCCTTCACTTAAATTGCTACTACGTACTCTCTTGTTCTTGTTTAAAATATCAGTGAATTTTGGTGCCTATATGGTTAACTATTACTAATCCTGAATTCCTGCAATTATCATCAACTTGCCTAAATAAGGGTTTGAGCTTAATTACGATATGATCTTGCTTGCTGCAATATCATCAATTTTTTTTAATCAATGGGTATCCATGTGTAGATGATGGGATTTGATTTTTACCTTTCTTTCATATTGAGAATAAAGATAGTAGAAATAATAAAAAAGATTTCTCTCCTGAAAAAACAGTAAATCCCACATTGGAGAAGTATAATACTTGTGAAGTACTTAATATTGTTAACTCCTAAAATTTTGATTGTCGAGCCTAGTAACGTGGGCTTGTGACCCAATATAGGGGCATTAAAGGTGGAATGTGAAATTGGTCTTATCACGTAGAAAACCTACGGCCCAGTGCCCTAAGTTCAGCCCATTATTTAATTGCACTACTTAGTGGCCCAGCCACAAAAGTTGCTTTCTTCAAAGACGCCAGTGCCCAGGAATTTGTGGTTCCCTATGTTGGTGGCTTATTTGTGGAAAAGCAGTTTGACTTATCCGAGCAGCTGAGTCCGCCCACTACGAACTTACTGGGCCAAGCCAAGGTGGTTTACTCTTGACCTAACCGACTTACTTTTTTTTTCCTTTTTTTATGGCATTAAAATTTAATTTGTGTAGAGAGCATACATCAAGCTAGTGCCATCCATTAATTCAAGATCGGGAGGAAGGAGTTGAATGCCTATTTATTTAGGCAAATTGATCAAAACAAGGGTCTCCCTCCTCAACATCCTACTTGTATACAAATACATCCTCTGATATCAAATTCAAATCATGTTACTTCTCTCAAGATTCCATGTCCCCCAACTCAACCTACCCTATATATTAAGCAGTAACATATGGAAAAGAACATTAGCCACAACTTCTTCAAGGTCTTATATTCTATCTTCTCACAATACACAACAAGAAGAAATGGCTTTCCACATCCACTCCAACAGCTTCCCCTCAAGGCCACACCCGTTCAAGAAGTCGATGAACATTTGTGTGGATTAAGATCCTTCCGAGGTCACCTCCACATCCTCCTCGTCAATCAGAGCCACAAGCTAAGTGGCCTCCAAGACTTGCATGATTGTATTGATAGGTTGCTTCAGTTGCCCCTCACTCAACAAGACTTGGCCCATAATTAATTAGAAATGGACTAATGAGCTATTAGATAACTCACCTAGGCTCTTGGATGTTTGCTGCAGTGTCAAGGATGCCCTGTTGCAAACCCAGGAATGTGCACAAGAACTTCAATCAATCCTACGAAGAAGGCTGGGAGGGAGGTGAGAAACTGGAGTCACAAGTGAGGTTAACAAATACTTGACCTTGAGGAACATGGTGAAAAAGAAAATCCCCAAGGCTATGAAGAATCCCAAGGCAATAGAAAACAGATCAACTTTCACTTTCCTCAACTAGGATCATGAGACCATTGCCATTGTTAGCAAGTTGAGAGAAAGTAGAAGCAGTCACTCTTCCAGTGTTTGAATCACTTCCTTCCTTCATCTCCGGGCCAAAGTCACAGACAAGCAGCTGGTCATTGGTGTCCAAAAGTCACATACAACCACTCATGAATAATCAACAACTTTCAGAAGAAAACATAATACCAAGAGGAATTTTGGACCTTTGGATGAACCTGAAGGCTACGGCTTCCTTCTGTTGGAAGGACAAACAGGATACAATTTGGCGTGTTCCCCTTGGTATAATCATCCTTTTAACCCATGCGGAAGGAAGATTGTTTTGTAATTAATATAGAGTCATTTTCTCCTTCTATCTTTAAAAAACTTAATCCCACATTGAAAAAACATAACCCTTGTTAACTACTTAATATTGTTAACTCCTAAAATTTTGATTGCCGAGCCTAGTAACGTGTGGGGGCATTAAAGGTGGAATGTGGGAAGGTCTTGTTTAGACGCGACCAACAGGTCCAGTGCCGGTGTTTCCCCTATGGTTATAGTAGGCTTCTACAAAGATGCTCCCAAGTTGACGGCTAATCTCAATTGGCTGGTTGGCAACATTGTGGAAAGGCAGTTGACTTATCAGAGCAGCTGTGGCAGACATAACGGCATCTGATCTCACTCTGGGCCGACTGAGACCCGCTCTTGACTTGACCAATGACCACCATCTTTTTTACCTCCCTCCTCCCACAACCCACGATGCCAACCCAATTCCTCGCTTTTTTTTTCGTTTTTATATGTATTAGCTTTTCGATTTTGAACATAACAAAGCATACCTTGCATGCAAATACATCATCTATCTGATATCAAATTCATGCCCAATCTGCTTCGTAAATATTCAAATTATTATCATGCTATCAGATAGAGACCAAGATTAAAGTTAATTCAGAGAACATCTTCCTAACAGATAGAGACCAAGATTAAAAAAAATTACAAAAAAAGGAAAAAATAATTTTTTTTAGGTGGTCAGTGTTTGACCCGAAACAAATTTGTAGAGGCCAAGAATATTTAAACTATTAATGCAAAAGTTTCATCCTCACGTGGGATAATCTCAATAAATTCAAAGGAGTTTCTGAAATTATGATTGAGATCACATGGGATTTTTGCAAGCAAATCAAATATCTCAAGGGAGATGAATAATCAACAACTAATGTCTAGCATTCAAAGGAGCATTTGACTACACGCTTTGAGCAGTAAACATTATACCAAGAAGGATGTCTAAACTCCGCCATACGATTGTGATGTATATATACTTGCACGAAACATACACAATAAATTCTCCAAAGGCCTTTAATTATATACAAGAAAATTACCGAACTGCTTGTAATAGAGTTCTATTCCTTTTCCTCTTCTCTCTTGAAATAACCGTAGATCCCACATTGGAAAAATATAATACGTGTTATGTACTTAATGTTATTAACTCCTAAAACTTTGCTCGCCGAGCTTAGTAATGTGAGCTTGTGACCCAACATGGGGGCATTAAAGGTGGAATTTGGAACTTAGTGTATGACGTGGACAACCTATGACACAATGCTCTCGGCACGGTTGCTCGTGGGCTACCCTACGAGCAACCATGGTGGCTTATCAGAGCAGCTGTCGATCACGGTAGGCCTAGCTCTGCTCTTCACCTGACTGCCACCTTTTTTAGTTTTCTACGATTTTCCATTACCTGTACAGATTTAATTCAAAACCTATACATTTACTTCTGTCAATCTCTCCAACCACAGTAGGCAGCCAATCCACTTTTGCTTTGCTTATTAATTCGAAATAAAATGTTTGGGGAGCAGTCCAATTCATAAAGTCTGCTAGCTACAAACCATTTTTCAACATCATGGAAGCATAACGCAATTGCACATGGTCATTGAAAAATACAGATTGCAAATCTTGCCTGCTACTTGCTTAACAATCATGCCAAGGACCTGAAAAATAATATGAACTTGATCAGCATATAATTGAGTTTATGCATTAGGGTTAAGCATGTTAATTTATAGAACTCTGTCCAATATGTTAGTTAAGCTAAATTAATGAGTTCATGAGTTGGGATCCAATTCAAATCATGTTACCCTTCTCACTAATATGATTGAAGAGGATGACCATGACCCCTCCTCAACCAACACTATATATTAAACAAACACATGGAAAATATATTACATTAACCACTTCTTTCAAGGTCTTCTATTCTATCTTCTCACAATACACAACAAGAAGAAATGGCTTGCCACATTCTCTCTAAGCTTCCCTTCAAGGCCACACCCAATCTTTCAAGAAGTTGATGAACATTTGTGTAGATTGAGGTCTTCTGAGGCCACCTCCACATCATCAACATCAATCAGCCACAAACTAACTGGCCTTCAAGACTTGCATGATTGTGTTGATAGGTTGCTTCAGTTGCCCCTCACTCAACAAGCCTTGGCCCAAGAGCAGAATGAGAAATCAACTAATGAGCTATTAGATGGTTCTCTCAGGCTCTAGCAGTGCCAAGGATGCCCTGTTGCAAACCAAGGAATGCGTACAGGACCTTCAATCGATCATGCGAAGAACGCAAGGAGGTGAATCTGGAGCACTCACAACTGAGGTCAGGAAATACTTGACCTCAAGGAAGATGGTGAAGAAGGCAATCCACAAGGCTATGGTAAATCTCAAGGGATCCAGTTTCTCATCCCTCAGCAAGGACAATAGACTATTGCCGTCGTTAGCACGTTGAGAGATATCAAGGCAGTCACTCTCTCAGTGTTTGAATCACTCCTGTCCTTCATCTCTGGTCCAAATTCAAAGCCGAGCAGCAGCTGGTTATTGGTTTCCAAGATTATTCACACTAAAAAAGTAGCTTGCGAGGAAGAAACAGAAGCAAATGAATTTGCCCAAGTGGATGCTGCTCTGCAACCATTCTTTAAGACAAGCAAATCTGACAACAAGATTGCAGACAACCAGCTTGACAATCTGGAGTCATGCATTCAAGATCAGGAAGAACAACTTGACTGCCTATTTAGGCAGTTGATTAAAACAAGAGTCAATCTCCTCAACATCCTAAACCACCAAATATATATATTAGCTTTTTCGATTTTGTACATGAAAAACACACGTGTATACAAATCATCCTCTGGATACAAAATGATTACTCATTTGCTTAATTGTCAATTATTATTATTCGCATTTGTTTTCGGAACCATTGAAACAAAAATTCTACCATTTCCATCCTATATATTGATCCTCTTATCATCTATAATTGGTCTATTTGCAAGAGTCGATGAATTAACTCTGACTCTAAGTAAACTCAGAGGAGTATCGAAAAGTATCATTGTCAAGAGCAAAAAGGTTTTGGTTCAATTGGGACAGTCTAGCGAGCCATGATGGAGCCTACAATGACAAGAGGTTTGACCGATGAGTTTTCACTGGCAAGACGCATATATAATCGCTTGAGCCTACAATGACAATATCTATGGGAATCAATATAGTAGATAATTTTATATAATTATTCACAATTTGGTAAGATATAACATTATAATAAATTGTTTGAGAAAATTATTTTCAGGAAAAAGAAGTTGAACAGTCAAATATGGCAGTCACAACATAGACATCATGGATTTCAAGCTTTGGGCACAGTATTATTTCCCGAAATTAAAAATTTGTGTGCATTTCTTTAAACTATTCACCTTAGCAAGAATATTGTCATAGACATTGATAATCCCATCATAAAATATTGTAAGTTGTTCTGAAGTCCTGTTGGATTGATCATCACATCTGTGTATGTACACACACAACAAAAATTGAAGAGGACTAACTTCAAAAGGGAAACTAATGTTATAACACAAGAAATAATTAGGGTAACGATTTTGGCACTCCTAGTTTAGTTTGTAGAAATTCAATTTAATTCCTTTTAAAGACTCTCAGTGGACGTTCTAGAAGCATAAACAGATTGTGCCAACATCGGTACCCAAACATAATAAGCATATATAATAACGAATGCAAGGAAAACGTACCGCAATCAAGGAAGCAACTGTTGCTCTGGCAAAGATAGCCGGTGTCCTGGGAAATTATTACTACCAAGAAATTTAGGTGGTAATAAAGGGCGGGGTGATGATTGCCTTTTGATAATTTCTGATTCAAATTCAGCTTCCATGCTGGTTTTAGCCACGTTATTGTGACTTCTTGTATGAAGATACTTTCTGAAGAACCAAACACTTTGAGACATATTATTCTCTTCATCCATTGATCTTATGCTGGATGTCTCTTTGCAGGTCATCTGGGGTCCTTGTAACTTTTTCAAAACCAGAACTATTTTTATTTTCGTCTTCTCCATACAGTTCTTGGTCTGTTTCCATGAAGAAGTCCTTTGGTATAATTGGAGTGCTACAAGCCATGATATATATATATATATATATGTTGCTCTCTCCCAACTTATTCCCAAGAAGTGAACAGAAGTCATCAAACATATGTATACATATAGCCCCATATAAAGAAAAACAAAATTGCTGAACATCGAACCCCCATATAAAGGAAATGAAAATTTATATATATATAGCCAAATTCCCATCATCCCATGACTAGCACAAAACTGAAATGGTATACAAGAAACCCCTCAAATATTACTCTGTGTCGAGGACAAAGATTGGTTGTTTGAAGCAGAACAGGTTCAAGGTGACTTAACCTGCATGGTGCTCATTGACAGTTTGGCAGCATCCACAGGGACGCAAGTCCCTGACAATATACTGCCCCAAGAGTTGTGCATAACGTCATTACAATAGACAGAGGAACTTCCCCTTGAGCAATTAAGGTCACCTGAAAGGCAATTTCATAAAAAGCATTGAATGGAGTTGAATAAATGGCCTAGGCGGGCGCTAGGCGGCGGCTAGGCGGGCTAGGCGGCGGCTAGGCGGGCTAGGCGGGCTAGGTGCTCTAGGCGGGCGCTGGAGAGAGAGAGAGAGAGAGAGAGAGAAACGAGGACGACGACGGTGCTATGAGGCGAGAGAGAGAGAAACGAGGATGACGATGGTGCTATGTTTAGGGTTTAGAAAAGGGCCGCGCGGCTATACTATTTATAAAAATAAAAAATAAAAAAGACCTTAGTAAAGCCGGTCGGCTATAATGTTTTTAAAATCCAGAGTATAGCGGCTATTTTTTTTTTTTTTTTTTTTTTTTAAAAAAAAGGGTACCCATATCGCCCAATCAAAAGGGTATAGCCGACCGGCTATACTATTTTTTATATTAAAAAACCATTCCATTTGCATTAGTTTATACTTTATAGATATTAATTTGCTAGTTTTGATATATATACCTTATAGATTTAATTTTTTTAATATATATTATTTTTATTCAATGGTATGTGAAAATTGTGTGCATAATACATGAATTTTATGTGTATTATTGAAAATTTTGTACAAAATCTAGTGTATTAAACATGAAAATACATACAGACTTGTAAAATACAAGTATTAAACATGGAAATGCTAAATTTTTTACACGGCTAATGACTTTGAAAAAGTAAAAACTGAAAAGGGTACAATAGAGACTCGTGTGAAGGCCTAATAATAATGGAAAATGCTCTAAGCTATCGATAAACAAAAATCTGGGAAAAAAGATAATAGTGTCCATGTAAAAAGTATAACCACGGAGCTATACTATTTATAAAATATAAAATAGACGGTTTGGATTAGTGAAATACAATCCGGAGTATCTACAAAATAGACAGTTTGAATTAGTGAAATACAATCCAGAGTGGGCCCTACAAGGGGTGTCCCTCAAATATGAGGGATCCCTAAATGGAAGCTCTCTGTATATATATCAGTCCCCTTCTATTGAGGGATCCCTCAAATAATTTTATTTAAAGGACCTTTAGGGTACCCTACAAATTTTTTTTTTCCAATGATCCAAACAGTCTATTTTTTAGGTCTTCATTCATAGATCATCCTTACAAAAAAATTAGACAAATCGGAAACCGTTTCGACATCCAATTGTGTCCTACAAAATCAATGAACACGGTGCTTCAATAAAGTATTAAAAGTTCAATAACTCAATTGAATGATCAAATGATATCGGATTCAAGTGATTTTTTGTAGAGATGATCTTTGAATGAGTATCTACAAAGTAAACTCAGAGGAGTATCGAAAAGTATCATTGTCAAGAGCAAAAAGGTTTTGGTTCAATTGGGACAGTCTAGCGAGCCATGATGGAGCCTACAATGACAAGAGGTTTGACCGGTGAGTTTTCACTGGCATGAGGCATAGTCGCTTGAGCCTACAATGACAATATCTATGGAAATCAATACAGCTGATCATTTTATATAATTATTCAGAATTTGCTAAGATATAACATTATAATAAATTGTTTGAGAAAATTATTTTCAGGAAAAAGAAGTTGAACAGTCAAATATGGCAGTCACAACATAGATATCATGGATTTCAAGCTTTGGGCACACACTATGCCAAAAAAGGCCTTTAGCAACGGATAGCAACGAATAAAATATGTTGCCTATTCCCCCAAAATACAGTGGTATATTCAAGCCTGTTGCCTATTGCTATTATCCGTGGCCTTTTTATACTTACAACGTCAGATATTTAGTAAACTCCGATGCGTAAAGGATTTCCGTGTGCAAAAAAAACATTGACTTCTGACACCTAAACCTAAAATAGCATCAGTGGTTTTAAAAGGGAGGAGGCTAAGGAAGTTTTACAGCATCAGTGATATATCCTATACTGATGCGTATTATCAATTACAACATCGCAAAAACAAATGGTGATGTTGCAAATTATGTTATACGTCACCAATAGAGTTGGTTGTTATGTAAATGTTGATGCTACTTCTAATTTTAGGCATCAATGATCCTAGATGTCTGGTTGTTGTTTTAATCTTTTAACTTCAGTTATTTTTGCAAAAGTGAAGTTGTTATAAAAAATAGGCATCACTTATGTAAGAAAAGTGTAGGCATTTTTCATGTTCCACGTCACACTTTACTTGGTAACTGTTGTTTGTGCAAATAATCTCACGGGAGAATATTCGCTTCTAAATCCTTCAACCTTCGATCTTCCTTCTCTCTCCTCCTCGATTCCTGTAAAAAATACTAGAGTAAATAGACCACACCCAGGGAGTGTTGGCCAAAGGCCTTCCGGTGCCTAAGTTAGTTCGAGTGTTTGTAGGAAAACAATAGCTAAGCAAAGGGTACGGAGTTATATGTATGGTGTGAACCGGGCGGCCGGAGCCGTGTGGAGAAAATATGGAGAGTGGAGAGGGAGAAGGAGAGAGCTTCGGGTATTTTTCTCGGGTATTAAGAGTAGGTTTATATGTCCCTTGAATGATGAATGAGGTCGTCTATTTATAGGAGCCTCAGGGCTAGGGTTTCGTAGAGAATATTATGAGTTTATTCTCCATCCAAATTCGTAGGGATCAAGTCGAACTTGATTATATCTCTTTATTGAAGATAATATCTAATTTAATGATATTATCTTCTCTTAATTAGGATAATATCTGAATTAACGGTATTATCTTAATAAACAAAGATAATATCCCATGAATTAAGATATTTATCCCAATTAATTAATTGGCCAGATAAACTGATTCAATTAATTAATTTAAGAGATCATCTTCTTTTCCACGTGGCGTGCCATGATTGGAGACGAAAATATATGCTCCCACAACTGTCTTAGAATATCAAAAAGACATCATTTCCAAATCATGTTGTGTTGCCATTAATTGCTCATAAAAAAACAT